GCAGCGTTGTGTTTTGCTCCTGTTTTTCAGGGCTCACACCTCCCACAACACCCCCCCACAAGCCGGTGGAGGACGACCTCTTCAAGCCCGAGGTCAAGGGGGAGTCTCCGCCGAAAGCGTCCTGGCCCCCCGCGGGGTCGGGAGGAGGCCGGCTGGCGTCGCGGAAGCTTCCGGAGCAGACGGAGCTGTACGCGCACCTGAGCAAGGCGGGCGAGGGCGCGGAGGGGGAGGAGCCGGCGGGGCAGGCCGGGAGGGCGAAGGGGGCCGGCGCCCGGACTTTCGGGGACCACGACTACTGCCTGCGGAGCGGGGCCGGGGAGGGCCGCGGCCCGCAGGCCCAGCTCGTCCCCGGGGCGCCGCCGGAGTGTTTGGACAAGCTGGGGCGCAGCAGCTCGCCGTCTCCCCAACAAGCCTTATCCCCCCACAACGCCGGGCAGAGGGCGGAGCGACCCTCCCGGCCCCCGGCGCCCAGCCGCCGCGCGTCCTGCTGCCCCTGCAGCCCCTCCCACTCCCCCAGCGGAAGGCAGAGCTTCAGGTGAGAGGCGTGGGGTACGGGACCCCCGGCTGGTGGCTTCGTCTCGGGAGACTGTGGCCGTCACCGAGCTTGGTCCCCAGTAGGCCGCTGTGTCAGCAGGCGTGGGCTGCAGAGGAACAAGTAGAGGTTTATCCCTGCTGAAAAGAGTTTCGTTGCCATCGGATGGGGCCTTCTTCAGATGTGGTCACCTGTGGCCGAAATGTTATGTTTCTTTTCTTCTCATTTTCGGCCCGAAATAAACCTTTGCTTGTTCCATTACTGAAGTGATTCTGACAGTTACGCATGATCCTCCGGGTTGCCAGTTTCACGTGGAAGCTCGGCCTGGGTAGATCATTGTTTGGTTTGTGTTTCCTTTTGGGCTGCTGCAGCGCCTGTGTGACGCAGAAAAGACGGGTCTCTGAGCCCTGTTTCGTGGTTCAGTCTAGCCAGCGGAGATCAGAGGAGGTCGAAAATAAATTAATAAACTATAATAAATGCCATCATGCGAGAGAAATGTACAGATTATTCTGTTTTATTCAAGCCTCTAGTTGCACACTGTTTTTGTCAGTTGTAGGCTGCGGATTACGGTTGTTTTTAAAATGGAGGAATGTTGATTTTGGTTTATTTTCTGAATATTCCCACCCCAAAACACGAGCCTTTCTTTCTCTGTCCCCACAGCTGTGAGAATTCGGAGACGTGTCATGGAGAAAAACAGAGGAATAAAGCGAACGTAAGTTAGGATGACACTAATTCGAGTCCTTTCTTTTGAATGATGTGGCTTTTTTTTTTTTCGGAAAGAGCCCAGCCATGTTAAAATAACCAACCTTGTCACAAAGAGGGTGTGTTTCGCAGAAGGAGGCAGACTCGGGTACTGGATCTGGTTGCTTGACCTTATGCATCACGCAGGTCCTGACACAGATAATCATGCAGAGATCAGCTTCTTGTACCGCTGCTGTAGAAGCATTGCAAGACCGTTGTTTCAGTGAGCTCAGTAGGTTAGGCAGTTGATTTCTCCATAATGACAGCTGTACAGCAAAGGCCCCTAATGTAGGCTTGGTGACAGAACGTGTTCTGTTTTTTTGGGTCCCCGAACGCGGTCGTCTTTCTCTGTGATGGGGTACTTCGGCGCCGGGGCTCTGACGGTCTCGCTGGTCTTTCTCTGCCCAGGACGAGTGCCGCGTGTTCTACATTCACAACCTGCCGAGCGGCATCACGCAGACGATGCTGCGCCGGCGCTTCGAGGCTTTCGGAGAGCCGGATGAATGCAAGGTCATCATAAAAAACAAGTGAGTCCAGCTCCGCCCCCTCGGCCCGAGGATCGCTTGGCACAGCGCTGTGCGCGGTGTAACAGCACGCGCAGAGCATACCAGACACAGGAGCAGCAGGCGGAACGGGACAGAGAGGCTTCTGCAGAAGGCCGTCCTGGATGGGCGCTGTGAGGTTCAGTCAATTGGACCCTCTTGTTCACCTGTTCAGCACACTGAACCACAGGGGTCCCTAGGGAAGGTGAACACGTTCTGCAGATTCAGGGGGGTTTCTGTCTCCCCCTTGCCCACCTCCTGCCCCCCGGTTTCCCTTTTTGCCACAGACTTGGAATTTCAGGGGTCTCACCAGGAGACCTCCAGCAAGGAAATTCTGAAACTGGTGCTGATCAGTTCATGATATATATATATATCGCTTTTTGGCTTTCCCGCGTGTCCTGAATATTCCTGACTTCACAGCTGCTGCACTTTATAGGAACCAGGCAGAATACTTCACAACCAGTGGCTGGCCCAAACTGGCCCAAACAAGACTAAAGAGGCAGGCAGCATACTCCTCAATTGTGTGAGCAACTTTTCAACCTGGAGTGAATGACGGGACGTGTCGTTCATACTGATGAGCCCTGGTCCTCAGTTTCCATAGTTACACCAGTGCAGTTATCAGGAACCTTCTTTTTGTCTCTTGCCAGCGAGCGTTGTGGCGTTATCACCTACCGACAGGCTGAGAGCGGGCCAGGACCACACAGGAGACGAGAACAGTCCGGCTTCGGGGGGCTGCGCAGGTTCTGCAGGAAGCGCTACATTGACCTGGGTATGTCACTGGAAGCATGACAGGCGTCCGTCATCAGGCCAGTACTGTATGTCTGATTTAAAAAGAAGTCTGGGTCCTGACTGACCATGTGGGCAAACAGTGGGCTGGCTGCCCACTCCAATGACAAAGTAATTATCAGCTTACCTGCAGTGGAAAATCCAGCCCTAGATCTTGAGTATGCCGTGTGAAAAAGAGTCCGTGTTTCAGTATTTTCAGAACAATACAAATCTGAGGGCTATGTGGTCTTGTGGTCCGATGTTTTTAAAGTTTTAATCCTCCCTGCCGAGACCCTTCAGATTAAGACGCAGTGAGGTTAGTGCAGTGTTCCCCAGACTGTACTGGCTCCTGCGCGATCAGCCAAGCAAGAGTGGTCTCTACCAGATGGAGAGCACCTACCACAGTGTAAGCAGAGATGAAATTACAGTACGGGGGTGGCTCATCCTGACGGTGGAAAACCTAGCACTGAAAATAACTGAGATCGCCCTGATTATTACACTTGTGTCCGTTCTGTGCTTCCACTGGGGAGCGAAGGGGTCCCCAGCCAGTAGAGGCCAGTTAAGCTACAGGCTGTGGTTGCTCGATGAAAAGTGAGACCCGCTGCAGAGGAATCTGTAAACACGAAACCTCTGGAACTCAGAGGGGCCGGTGAAGGAGTCTGTGACTCACAGTCGGCGGACAGGTTGGAGGAGCGCTCTCGTTTAAACCAGAGGAAATCCCGGAAGGAAATGCGGTCCTGGGAATCGGTTGCCCGCTTGTTTTTTTTTATTTTGTGGCGCGCTGTTGCTGTTGCTGTTGCTGTTGCTGTTGCTGTTGCTGTTGCTTGCCCCGTGTGCATTAAGCATTGAGCACCGTGTTTCTCCCCAGATGAGGCTGGCCCTGGCCCGGTGAAGAGCAAATACGATGCCATGGACTTCGACACCCTGCTGAAGGAGGCACAGAAGAGCCTGCATCGCTGACAAGCCTTAAACCCAATGAAGACTCACTCGCCTCAGTACCTCAACCAGGGCACCCCTCGTAACTGTTTACGTTTTTAACTTGGGGGGGGGGGGGGGGAAAAACCGAACAGACCTTTTCTCTGGAAACTGAGGAGGGAGGGAGGTAGAAGGAGAAGTTTACACTGAACACGAAGCTGCTTCCTGTGTGCGTGTTATCAGAATCGCCTCGGCCCCCGTTCCAGAAGAGAAACGGCGGGGGAGGGGGGTCGCGCAGCGTAGCAACAGCACTCTTTCCATTGGTCGTTGTGACGTGCGTTAATGTGTGTGTGTGTGTCGATTTACTGTCGGTGGGTTCGCAGCCGCGTTCGCCGCCACGTTTGTCTTTGTGACCAAACTGCTTTGACGTAGCCAGAATTGTGGATGTAAAAAAAAAAAACCAACCCGTGTGCATACTACAGTATAAAATAGAAAATAAAATCACAGAAAAGCAATTGACAAGTTAGAGTTTACAAGTCTTGGGGGGGGGTAACTTCTTGTTTTGTAATTTTAGTGCTTCCTTAATTTCATCTATGCACTCGTGACAAGGTAATTGTCTGCTCTTTCAATCCCCGTCCTTCCCCGTCTGTGGCTTGGCTGCTGGTCTCCAGCAGGGGGCGCTGAGGGAGTCCCCCCCCCATGGCTCTTGCTGGGACGAGCGATAATCGACTTGAGAAAAACCTGGTTGACGTTTTTTTTTTTGGAACAAGCAGCATCGAAGAGTACGTGTGCATTCTGAAGTGGCTCTAGTCTTGGGGGGGGACCATCAAGGTTCGTCTAGTATCTATAGACTGCTGCGGCCACGTGGATTGAATGAATCTAACCTTTGACGTTCAGAAATCCTGTAGATGAGGACCAGAACCAGGACAATTTTGTGTCGAAGACGACCAGTACATGAACACTAAACCAAATAGCAGAGAAAGACCGCTTTCGAAATGCTTTTGTTTCTAAACGCTCCTTCACCCTTCCGCTTTCTGTCTTCAGGAAAACCCCAGCAGCGAGGTAGTAATTGGGATATTCAAGGAGCCTTTTGCCCCTGCTGCTGTCCATCTTCAGGCATCACTGTACATCGTCAGAGCTCTTTTGCGACAGTAGCAGTCAGCCTCTGGATCGCTGCGTTTCCGAGAGAGAATATTTCTTGCGTTCAGTGGCGAGAACCGGGAAAGCCAGAGATTCTAGAACTGTCCTTGCCCCCAGGAATCCAGAGGGGTTTCTCTACCTCGTTTACAGCCTGTCTCTCTCTCTGTCTTTCTGTAGCTCTTTCTTTGCCAACTCGGAGAGCACTTGCCTTGTGGCTGAACTAGCTCTGTCTGTGTGTGTGTTTCTGCCCGTCTCTGTGTACGGGCGCTGAGACTGCAGGGGACTCCTACCAATTTTCCAACTCGCTCGCTGTCTCCGTCTCTCCATTTTCTTAGCCTCCTGCCGGTCCTCCTGTCTCAAGATCCCAACGTGCAGTGTAGCCCTTTGTACTTGTGAGGGAGGTGGGGTAAGGGAGGGACTGTACTGTATGTGCCCCTCTGTTTTAAATGTTCCTAGCCTGCCTCCAGCCACCCCCAAAATCTTTCTCCCTCTTCCACATCTCCTCTCCTTTTACAAGGGAATGTTTACATCACATGGATTCTCCTTCTTTATTAGAACGCACACTAAGTACAAAGACGCCTTATTCAGTGTTCGCAGTACCCTACTAGGAGGTGCCGTGCTGGCTTACCTTAGTAGGTTACTTATTTAAAAACTACAAGCATATTTAGTGTTATACATACTTCAAAAATTAGTGGCATCCATGTTTCGTCATGGACCACAATGTCCTGAATGAGCATTTGTACTTAGTATGTATACTACTAAATAGTGAGAGAATGTGCAGGTTTACATAATTAACCAGGTTGGAATGGCATATCTATGGTGTATATATGGAACCATGCCTAGACGTAACATGAAGTGTATTGTTGTGTACTCTATGGCTCTGTGTAAATGTATTTAATGATGGTGGTAGGTAATAATCCTAATTTAATGTAAGGGGGAGAATATGCCTATTGAATCGTGGCTTGGCCTGTCAAAACACCGGTATGAGAATGCTTTTAAGCAGACATTAAACTATTGTAGTCTGTATTTTTAAACTGCAGTGGATGAGAAGTTCAAAATCGTGCTCACAAACTCGTAAAATCCCAGCTGATGGCAAATGTCCTCTGCTCCAAAATCAGCCTTTTCTACTGCGGAAAGGCATAACATTTTAAAAAAATAGTCAATTTGCTATTGAATAGCATACTGTGTGTGGATTAGATGAACATGGCGATATTTGATTCAGCCTGGGCCATAGAATTCCCCATTTCGGAAGGTAGAGGTTGGTGTAACAATTGTGTGTTCATCAGCTGGATAGCTACTTGTTTGAGTTTTGGTCAGTTATAATGCTAATTTACGTTACCGGCACTGCTGGTATCAAATTTTAACTTAGAAGCAATTACAATGAATTCTAGGGTCTGTGCTGGTTTTGACTGAATTTTATTTTAATGAAGGTCTTGAAAGATTTGTGTAAAAGGAAAAAAAAAAACATTGTTTACTTTTGCCATACCAAGGTTCAGGATGTCAGAATGTCTGAATCCTTTTTGGCATTAAAGTACCACAAAAAGGGATAAAAGTAAAAAATGTAGTAAGGAGAGCCTTAAAATAATTGAGTGAACATAAAGCTACAAATTGCTTTTATCAATACTGTATAATCTCCTTTTAAATGTCCTGTGTGTTTATAAATCACAAAATAATTAAAACTTTTAATACAGCCATATTATAAACAGTATATATACATATATATTTGTGTGTGTGTAGATAGATATATAGACGAATATATAATTTCTTACTGAAAGCTTTAATGTTGACCACTGTCTTCATTTTAAAATTATTGATCATTTCAAGCATAATCATTGGTCTTTCGTGTGTGTGTGTGAAACAGCAAAAAGATTTCCAAACATTTTCACGGGCTGCTCAGAAAGAAAGCAATGCAAAATGTGTCAAAAAATACTTTCTGTTCATCAGTAATCTCACCAAAAAACTGGCCATCAGCTGACTCCTCTGAAGTCCAATCGTAACCAGGGTCCAAAATCAAATTAACGTCTTTCAAACGGCGTTTTAACACCATGCGCCCCACAGCCGTGTCAAACAATGACGTACTGTTTCCCCCCTAGCAGAGTTACATGGGAACGCTCCCAATTAAGATTCCAGTCAAGATCTGAGTTAATTGGATTTTGGATCCTGCCTGAGTTTCCTGTAACAGTAGCCGGTTTAGTGCGACTTCCTGTTAGGGACATGATTGATGAACGAGGTTGTTTCTTTACAGGCAAAAACGCTTGAAGGATATTCTGAGCTGTTTTTTTGGTGTTAAAACTGGTTTCCTCTCTTGGAGTTTTGAATGCCTGCTGTGCGTCTCGGGGTTTTTTTTTTCTGCCGTCAATCTCTGAAATCGCCGTCGGTCGTTGTTTTCAAATGTGAAACGCCCGTGCAACTTCTTGCCGGAGAGAGTGGACTGTCCCCATGCTGGGAGAGATTCTGGTCAAGTGGTTTGTTTGTTCATATCTACTGTACATCATTTGATCAGAGGTGATCATATGACCACGTTTTTATCCTCGGAACATCCTTCGGAAGTACATTCGCATCAGTACTCTCTCTGTACTCAAGGTCCATGGTATGACGTGTATTAAAAAGGGCATATTTTTTTACAGTTTTGTGTCTTTTCATCTAACAAGACGTTCGCAACCTGATTTTTTTTTAACATTTGTTTTGGTATACAGTATTTGACTAGTAAAGGTTTATATTTTTTACATACGTTGGTTTTTATTTTATTTTTATTCTTTATTTAAATGGCACTTAGCTGGAATGTCTTTTAATCCTGTTTCTTATCCAAATCGTGAGATTTCATACGTCTGGGAAGTGTGAAGACAAAAATGCATTTCTGTATTTTTTGAATCGTTAAAATGCTCTAGTTTCATAGATAATTTTACCAAAATAGCTGAAATTATCTGATGTGATAAATTCTATTTTAAGTCATGTAAATAGTTTTAAAAGAAGAGAAACTGGCTTCCTTTTAAACTAAAGAAAATTTCTCTGGAGAGATTGTTTACATTATTAAACTGTAGAGATGTTGCTCATAAACTGTAAAAATAAATATATTCATTGATTTCTCCTCCAAAAAATAAAAACCTTAATGAACAACCTTAAGACTCCTTTATTGCAGGTCCGTACGCGTTTCTGTGCGAGAAGGTAATTATTTATAGCAGAGCCACAGTGGCCTTCTGGGTGTGGTCCCAGCTGAGCTCTGAATGACTTAATTAGACCAATTAATTGTATAATTAGTGCAAATTAACATGGTTCCAGGACAAATTTAAAGCTTTTTCTAAAACCAAGAGAACTCTCTTTGTAGGGCCATGCTAGGTGTTTGTATTCCATACATTGTCTGAAACTCTTTCAGTTCTCTAGGGAACAGGCTGCCACAGTACCTTAGCTGTACTGGTTAAGTAATGAGGGATTTTCACAGGAGCCCAATTGTCTGCCCAGTTTTAAAATTTTACTTTTTTTCCTTTGGAGGTTAGCTTGTGCTTGTACCATTGAGACAAATCTGAACAACATTTCTTCAACTTTTACTCTTTATTTTCAGTCATTGTTCCAGTTATACAGTACAGAAGCAGCTGAGATTGATTTGAGGTAGCAGTCCTAATGTTAATAGCAACTCATTTGACAAAAGCTTTAACATTAAGCTCACCATGCACTGTGGCTTGTCTAGTAATACAGGTGTGATCATATGAGGGTTTTAGTCTGCTAGACTCGTAATGTTTATTGGATTTTTACTTATTCACCTGTGTTCTAACATAAAAGAAGGTAGAAGAGCTATTCTGAATGCTCTGGATGTATCGCAAGTAACAAAAATAGACGGATAATTGCTTTCAGGTGTTTGTTAAATTTAGTTTAAAAAAAAGAAGCATGAAACAAAATGCCCTACCCATAATTCCAATTGTAACGTTGTCGTCAAGGGAGAACGAATAAACGAATGGAAAGACTGACACTCTGGAGTCTTTCAGAAAGCAGCTGATTGAGATCCTCCAATTAGGACAGCAGTTCTTTACACCAAGGGTTGTGGGAGTGTTGAACAAGCAATCCAGCCATGTTGATGAAGCTGATGCCTTGGCTTCTTTCAAGAAAGGGCTGGATGAGATCCTGGGATAATATAGCTACTACCATCCACCTGATTTGCATGGACCAAATGGCCTGTTCTGGTTTGTAACCTTCCCTAGCTGATGCAATGCCCTCTGTTTTCCAAACGAAAACCATCCACATTGCATACACATCTCTTCTTTCAGCTGGGCTACAAGTACTAATGTTTAAAAGCTGCTGGTTCTTGCCAGGAGGTAGCTGATGTCAAGATTTGACCGGTTCCAAATGACCCCAGTGGAAAGTCTGTATCGGAGCGTCTGGAATGCATTTTCTCAGGTAAAAGATCTCTCTCTGTACGGACTGTGAGCCATTTAGTAGCGAGTGCGATGGGGTTGCTTTGGCAAAGCTACCTTCTGAAAAACGCTCCTGAGCACAACCCTTCTCGTCCCCACTTCTCAGAAGGAAGGGTGCCTGCGTTAGCAGCTCTAAGGAGGAATGACCAGCCCTGGCTGTTAATTAGCTAGATTTTCCAGAAGACAGTTACTGAGCACCGCCCTGTCTCACGTCCCAGTGGATACTGGGTCAGATGCTTACATGCAGGAAGCTAGCTCATCCTGGGATTTTTTTCCCCATTTGAAAAGAATGCCAATTAATTGTCTTTTTCTCTCCCACCAGTGATCAACAACAGGGAGGTGTCTCGCATTTTATTTCAGGTGGTAGGCAGCTGTGCTGCAGTGCCAGGTACGTCTTCAGATGTTTGGACTTTGTTTATAACCAGCTCGTTAATTGTCTATTCGGTCAGTGCATGACTCAGAAGCCCAGTTGAACTAGATCTGATTAAATTGATTTCCAAGGTAAGAAAGCTCAGAAAGGTGGGGGTAGTTCCTACCCTAGGATTCCTTTGAGAGGTCTTTTTGGGGTTTTTGGTTATGATGTAGTGTGGTTGAAATGCAGGCTTAATTCAGGCAGAGCTAAGGCCATTATGACCATCTCATAACGACTAAGTAAACCTGGAGCAGAATATAAGCTGAACAGTTAAGTGACAAAAAAATAAATAAAAAGAGTGACAGACCTACAGGCAGACTTATTACCATCCAATGGCTTGGGCCCATCCAGTGGCAATTTCTTTCAGCCGGTCAGTGGGAGTTTATATTCTGAAAGCTATTTTTTTCCAGTTACAACAATTCTTTTGCTCCAGCATTCTATCTGCTCTTTTCAGAACTGTCTACATGGCTTCACTGTTTTTACACATTTTTACCTATTTCCTTGACCCGTGACCTGCTAGGTCATTGGCTTGAACATGAGGTACATCGCAAAAATGTTGGTGCCCAGCGACATCACAGATGGGTGAGTTTATATTTAAGATGCACAGAAAATGGCGCCTGATTGGCTTAACCTGTGAACATGCCTTACAGCTCAGGCTGGATTCCAACTAGGACTACAGTCACTAGCAGCCTGAGAGAAGGTAGGCTCTGCCTGTCGTACGATGACCCCGGTCGTGTTGACGTGCTATGTACCAGTTTGCTTTTAGGGTTGGGGGTAAGAGACATGTCACTTCTCCATCAGCGCCAGCTCTGCAGATGAAAAGCAATGGTTCTGCCTGTGTGCACACTGGAAAGAAGTGTGGAATGAATCCTTCTTGGCTGGTATGAGGGTCAATTGATAATCAAAAATGCCGATTGTGGGTGAGTGGTATTTAATACTAACTGACAATTGTGTCTCCCCAAACCTAGATTTCCATTCATTACACAATGTTTTGATCTGTCACAAGAAAACAGTCATTTTTCATTAAAAATAATGATTTCACTTCATAGTCCTATGGTTAAGAATAATGTAACATTCATTTTCTATAGAATAACAGGCAGACTCAGCACCACTTATCTTTTAGTCGAATATAGGTGTTAGATGATCATTTCTACACCTTTGTTAAAGAAATGGTGTTTTATTCATTCTGCTCTCAAACTTCCTTATGCTACAATCAACTCACTCTCGGTTCTCCATGGACTTCGCCACTCCATCATCTGAGCTCCAATTTGTGAAATGCACTCTTCCAAAGCAGGTTTGATCGTCTTCAGAGATCCTGCCTGAATCATTGAGTAGGTAGGTTTCATCAGCAAACTACTGTAACACACAGAGTTTGTAGTTTACAGATTCAGAAATCAAACCCAATCTTTAAATGTAGTTAAGGTTAAAAAAATGTTTCGGAAAGAATTGTTCAAATTTCTGAAGGTCGTCTGATGTTGGCTTCGAAATTATCATGCCATTCAATATGTTCAGACTTGCAATTTGAAATCATTTAACTTTCTTCAAGGAGTTCCTCATTTTTGCAATATTGCAACATTGGAGTGTACACAGAGATGAGACTGTGAGAGCACAAAGATGCCTTCATAAATCAGGTGTTATTGTGAGATTGCAGGTGCTGTGAGACTAACGATCATCTTTAAAAATTCATTATAACTACTGTCTACATCTGCAAACTGATCAAATCGTCTGTGTCTTCTAACAGTATCGGTGAAATGTATTGATTGACTTTGACAGCGTAATCAGTCATTTAAAAAAAGGAGCCTAGTATCAAAGACTACGTTCCTGGAATATATCAGCAATTAGAAAAAAAAACTACTACATTTAACCTCATAAAGGTTGCCCATGTGGGGTTCTCCATATCTATGATAATTATTATAATTCATGAAGTCATAACAGATGGCAGTTAATACACAGGTGTCTTATACAGTAGGTAAGCACCTGATTTGATGCTATTTATACTTGTCGGCGTGTTTACAAACACATGAGAATGACTGTATTTGTGATTTGCAACTTTATGCGGACAAAGAGAATAGAGTGGACAAAATGGACAAAGAAAATGACAGTACGTGCGAGAGCATTCTTCGCCTGCTCTGAGCAGGGAGCAGGACGAGGCGGCTGTGAGCAGAACACTCCCTTGACGCTCCTCTGCTCTAGTTGATGACGCAGGTCTTGGACTCGGCCTGGGGCTTGCTTGCTGCGAGGAGAGAAGTGGGGGGAGACTGAGAAACAGGACCACAGGAAACAGAAAACCGCTCCGGTCAGCAGGAGGCGCTGTCTTCTCCATGCCTCACGCGCTGCTGGCTGAAGTCCGGTATTTCAGGGTTCAGCATGAAAGCTGTGCTTTCTAAGCAGGTACACAGTCACACAGTGGGAGCTGGCACGCTATTTTCATAGAAAGAGTCAGCGTTCATACTGTACAGACATCACAGTATATTAGTTATCACAGTGAGTAGTGAGAGAGGAAGGGACGGTTTGACGTCGCAGTTCGTGGGAACTCTCTCTTTTGCCCGTGGGCGAAACCAGCACGGTTTGCAGCAATGTGGCGACTATACAGAACCTTCACAAAGTTCACGATTTTGTGCTTAATTCAGAATCTGTGAAGTTTTGAGATACCGCCAATTAATCTATTTTATTACTAAGACTTAATAACCGATCTCAGAAACTGGGACTGCAGCTCCCCTTTGCTCAGGCTAACGCTAAGCTTTTATATTTGTCCACAGCACTCAGTTTATGAACTGAAAGCCGGACATTTGCTTTCAAGAGGTCTGCTCACCCTAGGGCAACAGGAGTGTGTCCTCCAGGCACAAGTGTGCTGAACATCACTCAAAGCTGCCGGAGAATGAAGCTTCTCCCCAGCACTGAGTGATGTGAGATAGACTTGTACTTGTACTAGTAGCTAGGGGCCCTTGGGTGAGCAGACTTCTTGAAAGCAAATGCCCAGCTTTCAGTTCACAAACTGCATTTTCTGCTTTTTTTCAAATGAAATCAAAAGACACTGACATTTTACTCCTTTTTTAAGACCAACACTATTTTTTTCTGGAGGATTGAAGCCAGATCTACAGTGCACAGGAGTTAAGCGTTTGGCCAGGCGTGTACAATAGATGTCACACAGTATGTAGAAAGCAGCAACACTATGACGTATAGTAAGTTTTCTTCTAGGTATTTGTTTATGACCGCCACCTAACAGCTTCCTTTAGTGTCCCACAGATTTTCTGTTTCATTGCTTCAAGTTATGAATGCAAGATATCTCCTCTCAGACTAAATTGCCTCATTGCAAGCTTAATAAGTACATGGCTGGTCCCATCCATCCCATTCCCCTCACCGGGCTCCGTTCCAAGCCAGTTCCCTAATTATCTCGTCCATCATCGCTGACTGCGACTCAGTTCTGGCCAATAAATAAGGTGGCCAGCTGGAACAGATCCTCAGGGAGGGTTTCCATACGTTTGCAGGGTATTTTTGTGGCTGTTTTTACGTTTGCTTTACTCTGACATTAATTCCCATGGGTGGGCTGCTGCCCTGTCATACTGTCACAATTTGGTCCCCACTTCAAGTACATATATTGTCGCTCTGGACTCAGCCCAGAACTGAACATCCATATACTGTACATTTCAGGGTCTAAGGGAACATCCTACTCTGATGGGCCGAAGGGACGGAGCTCAACGCTTTACTCTTGAACGGAGAAGACATGAGGGCACCTGATACGAGCATTCAAAGCCCTCAAAGACATTGACAAAGTCAAGCCAGCTCAGCAGTCAGCAGTAAAAACCACAAACCAGAGGACCCAGGTGGATCCTACATGAAAGTGTGCTTAAAACCAAGAATGAGGACGAAGGTGGGGTGGGGGTGGGGGAGGGTTGGGGCTTCTTTACAAAAAGGAAGTCTGGAATAAGATAATCCAGTCGTTTTATCAGACAACACGGCACCTGACTTCCTTCAAGAAACAGCGCGATGAGATCCAGAGTTACAGGCCAGACGGGGCGGCCGGTCCCCTGATTACCTTGCTTGGCCGCCGCGGCCGCCGCCACCTCCGCCTCCTTCTTCTTCTTCTCCTCCTCCAGGTTGGCCAGCTTGCCCTCGTGCTCCTCCTGCAGGGCCTTCCACTCCTTCCTGTTGTTGAGCAGCCGTTCCAGCATGGGCGTGATCTCCACGTGGAAGCGGGAGAACTCCTGACCACAGGGACACACACACACGCGCACGCTGAATGAGAACGGGCTTTTCTGAGAACTGCCCAGGTGAGACTTCATTTCTAGGGCCGAGGCTCGTGTTACGAGTTTGGCGTCTGGTAAACAAACTGTGTGTGCAGTCTACAGGTGCGGAGGGTCCCAGTATGTCAACATCAATAATAAAGAACCTGCAGAGCTCAGCTGTGATACAGTATGTGGAAGGTATAGAAAACACAGCAGACACAAACACACTAGTAGCAGCTCCTGCAGGGCCTGATGCCAATGGTCAAGCAATGTTCATTTTGTTACTACTGGACAATTCCAGTGTGTCTAGTGGGGGGGGGGCTTTCACTTTTTACCGGGATTGGCAAGGATCTACTGTGTGTTAGGGCTCTCCAGCTATTCTTGCAGGTCACCCTACATCACCTAAATGTTATTTTAAAATGAGGAACACTTATTCGAGCAGTTGATCAACTGGGCAAGTAATGTCTTAAAGAAGGAAAGTGGGTCCTCGTGGGCCAAAGGATGCTCTGAGCCGAATAATCTCGGAATTACTTAATTGATAGTTTATGCGATCATAGTTGGATTTTCGCAGGTCTTTAGAGACAGCTGATTTAAAGGCTACCTATGAAAACCTGCTGGACTGGGGCTCTCCAGGACCAGGTGAGGCCCTATCCGTTCCACCGTTGAGCCCTGCAGCTCTGCAATCCGGGGGAAGACTGGTTTTGACTGGGTTGTCCCAGATGGGCTGATCAGCAGGTGTTGCAGACGGTTCAATGGGTGTGGTCTTTGCCACAGGCCACTGGTGTTTCAAGACAAATCAGGTTTGGGCTGGTGGAAAGGAAGCCAGTATGCATGAACCCGAAGCTGGCTGGTTCAAGAAACGGTTCTTGGAAAAAAGCTACATAAATCTGCATCAGACCTGAAGAAATACCAGCAGGACAGCCAGGTATTTTGGCAGGTCTACCAGTTACGAACTCACCTTGTACACAAACGAACAGACGAAATCGATGAAACCGCACTGCAGTTTGGGTAGCTCGTCTGCTTTGTTCCTGTCCATCATTGGCTGGGACACAAAGAGAAGTTAGTACAGAAGTCAGAGTGAGAAACGTGTCTGCAAGTGACAACTACAATTTAAATCTAAGGTTAGAAGCGAGGAGCTGTGTCTTCTTGCAGGCTGCAAAAGGAGCAAATTTCAGGTCCACAGTGACATTAGTGAAATGTAAACATTTCAGCTGTAGAGCCCACTAGAATCCCATTCCATGTTAACCCAAGTTAACCTCGATTTGTTCCTAATTTTAAAAATAACAGGATATTGTACATTTCTGTCAGTACCCTCCTTTTTTAGCAGCCTGCCAACTGCTAGAGTAAGTATCAGTAGGGTACAGAACATGCTGCTTTTATTTTTCACAAATAAACTGTTGTGACCTTAAAAGTCCCTGACCTCTCTTTATGATTCAGCGCACGACAGAATGTAATTTGTTTAAGCCCTGTCTTGCAGGAACATTCAGTTTCTTATTTCAGTGTGATTGACCCCGGCAGAGGTCATCTTACAATGGGGTTCTGCTGCAATACGGTCCTCTCCAGATCACCCTGTTCCCAGAACTCCGCCGCCACGGACAGCGCCACCTGTAGACCCAAGTGCAACAGTTACTTAGTTACTGAACAGCCACACACCAACAGCACATATCTTACCATCAGTCAAACACCTTGATTCTTGAACTGACCATACGTCAGAACCTAAGCGATGCTGGGCCAAGGTAAAAATTTATCTTGATCCTTTTGAGTGTTTTACACATCACTAAATACTCATTTCTGCATCATCAGGGAGTTGATAAAGATATGCTTTTTGAAGGTGTGAAGTTCAGTTCTGGTGGACCCACAGTAGATGGTGTAAGGCAGAAAGGACAGACACCTGGATGGGAGACCTCCTGGGAAAAACTATGGTTGCTGCTGGAAGAGGTGTTAGTGGGGCCAGCAGGGGGCGCTCACCCTGTGACTCATGTGTGTCCTAATGCCCCAGTGTAGTGACGGGGACACTATACTGTAAACAGGTGCCGTCCTTCGGATGAGACGTAAAACCGAGGTCCTGACTCTCTGTGGTCATTAAAAATCCCAAGGCATTTCTCGAAAAGCGTAGGGGTGTTACCCCGGCGTCCTGGCCAAATTTCCCATTGGCCCTTACCAATCATGGCCTCCTAATAATCCCCCTCTATGAACTGGGTACATTACTCTGCTCTCCTCCCCACTGAGAGCTGATGTGTGGTGAGTGTTCTGGTGCACTATGGCTGCCGTCGCATCATCCAGGTGGGGCTGCACGCTGGTGGTGGTGGAGGGGAGTCCCCATTACCTGTAAAGCGCTTTGAGTGGAGTGTCCAGAAAAGCGCTGTATAAGTGTAAGCTATTATTATTATTATTATTATTATTATTATTATTATTATTTGAGACCATGTAATTACCTTGCTCTGTATCTCCCAGGGTTTGGCAATAGCTGACAAGTCACAGGCAGTCATCATCATCGCCCTGCGATCAAGAAGACAGTTGACTCTCTCAAAACGTCGTTAACCGCTTGTCCTCTCTGTACCACAGCTCTTTTTGAAGTAGAAATTAGGGAACACGAACACCCTAATATCCACTCATCTGTCATCTTAAAGGAATGTACGCCCTCGCGTGAAGTGTCACCATACACCCCCATTTTTGTGAAAAACTGCCCCCACCACCCCAGATCAGACACTACTGGAAATAAAGTTGCATACATGGTGTTGCACAGTCGGCCTCCTGTGAACTTTCAGGAGGTATTATCCTCACATGTTCCAGTTCCCTCACTTCGTTCTGCTGGTTCTGGGCTCCTTTATTGTTCCACTGTGCCACAGGGGACTGAACTTTCAGTGGTAACCTCTTGTGTCTGGAACGCTCTTTCTGATGAAATTAGAAATGCATCTTCTGTTGATGTTTTTAAAACATCATGCCTTAAAACGGATGTGTTCAATGGCCTTTAATTCCTCATCTATTTTTTTTTTCGATTTTTCACTGATGTCTGGTTTTATGATGTTTATTATGCATGCTGTATTGTCTCACGTTGTGTAATTTGTGGAAAGTGCCTTTGGAATGCTCTGTATTGACAGATCGACTGACCACCTACATGACAATCTCCTTCCGAGTCGTCTCCAGCATCATGTACTCGGTCCACTTGTCCCAGTCATCGTACGTTTTGGACTGATCCACTATCTTCTGGAACATGGCTCTCTTCCTGCCAGGGGTGAGAGACAGACATGGTGCAGATGTGCCCACAGATGCTTACTGAGAAGACGCAGTGATACAGAGCCTGTGACCTGTGAGCACACTTACTTGAAGTACAGTGCCAGGTCAGTTGCGATGATGGCAATGTCCATGAGATGAATGACATGTTCATGCTGTCGTCGGTTAAGATTTTGGTAGATGTTTAAGTCCTAAATGGAGAACTCTGGGTTAATGTTTCAGGTGAATGATCTTTTGAATGCATAATATATGGAAATACCCCTCCACGTGGTCCTGATTCCAGTAAGGATATCAGGGCAAAAATATTAATTTCATTTCCTCAATTGAATCCTATATTAACAGTGACAGTAACAGTCAAGTTGTGAACAGAAGGCATTTTTACACAAAGGGCGGTGAGAGTGTGGAACGGGGTGTCTAGTCCTTTTGTTATAGTAGGCTAGATAGTAGATAGTAGATACCCTGGCTTCTTTCACGAAAACGCAGGATATAATGTAACACCGACGCTACACAGATACCACAGTGGCCCTACCTCATCTCTCAGCAAAGTCTTCCCAAACTCCAGGTGGTGCCTTTCCAAAATGGAAGATCCATGCAGCTTTGCGAGTGGATTGCCAGACCTGAGTGCGTAACAGATACCAGGCAGGTGGTGACACATAGCAAGGTGAGCTACACCTTGGTTTCACAAGTGAGCCACAACTAAGAGAGACAGTTAGCAACAGCATGATTCATCGTTGCATTCGAAAATGATCTTTTGGGGCTCTTACAAAAATCCAGGAGTTTTGGGACCGAAACTCTCATGGATTCCCGAAGCCCCTGCATGTTTCCTGTGGCAAGGAGTCCTGCAGGAAGTTTGCAAGAATCTGCCCAGACATATCTCCGGGATCGTATTGAATGAATCTTTAGCTGATTGTACAAGCTTAATGACATTTTGGTAGCTCGGTAGAAGAGGATGCTTCTGATTATTGGTATCACAGTACTAAAAGTAAAGGGAAATTGGCCATGAACAGAATTGTTAATATTGTGGTAGTAAAATAATGTGGATGGCCACAGAAACTGCTTAAAGAGCTGTATTACAGTGTTTTGTAGTTCAAAAGAAAGCTCAGATCATCATTCTGCCTCCAGGGAGGCGGTTAGCACAGCGCTAGACTTCCACTTTATAACTACCACTGTTACAGGAGCGCGTCTTACTTCATCTGGTAGAGGTTGTTGGTTCCCCTGTGGTCGATATCGTGGCAGAACCCAGCAGTTACCATGGCCATGGCCTCTAGGTCAGTGTAGTAACGCTTCAGGTCGCCTGTCTAATTAAAACAATTAGAGGCTGATGAAGTCTCCACGGGAAAGCATCAGAGCACGCACTTGCTGCTTTTAATAACCAAATGCTAAATCTTTGCACTAGAAGTTTTGTGCTTTGCCCCTGGAGGGCTAATTAAGTTCAAGTCACTAAGAAATGAGTTGAGCATGTGTGTACTTAACCTCTCCCCGTCCCTGTCCCAAAGAAATCCATACGTGACTTCCAATGACAGAGAAACGCATGGACAATGTTTTGTCTCCCCCCTTGCTGCTGACGAATGTTGAAAAGGAAGTGGGGAGACGACCAAGCAACATTGTCTTACATTGAATTGTGCATCAATCCCCCTTCCCACGGGGCCAGAGGAGTGTAAGCAAAAGGCCTGTAAACTTTCTTCTTTTAAAATCAAGAGGGATGTGGGCTTGAAACGCAGGCATTGACAAGATTAACTTGTGCTGTGCTTCAGAAATCGAGAGCTGGCTCCTGAGGCCTGGATCGTAACCTTCCTCTCCCCTGAAGGTGGCTGCTGGCAACCCCTTGTACCAGAAGATGTTCCAATAAGTCTTGACTTTGAAACTGCAATCAACCGGTCATTAACATGCTGAGGCATATGTAGGCAAACAAGTAACCTAATCAAATCAAGACATCTGGGAAAGAGGTGTGAAAATATACATAAAAAAACAGAGAGATTGAAAATGCAACAAAAGCCAACAGCACATTTCCTATTTAATGCTTCCTAGTATCTATTATACTGTATTATAGGAAAGATTACACACTTATGATATGCTGTACATACATGTAGATATAATCTATGTATGTATGAAACCAGATGTGTATCAATTTCAGGAAAGAAAGTAATTGCATTATTAAGCTTGTCTCACTGTATTATGGAAAGGGAGCATGTCCCAGGAAGGCTACAGTTTTAATTTTCCTTGTTTGAACTGCTCGGCCGGTGGTGGTGGCGGGACGGGTGCTCACCATGAGCAGCGTGAACATGGTCTGGCCCACGTTGAAGCCGTGCCTCCAGTTGTGGTAGGTGATCCTCCGGTAGCCCTTGCTGACGGAGTACATGAACTTCACGAGAGCCTGGTGAGCACAGGACAGCAGTCACTACCGGCCCCCGCGTGGCTCCGGCCTGTCGGCTGTGTGTGCGCTCGCCCCGGCGCGCGGGACGCCAACTGGAGATGCGTGGCGCTCCGAAAGGAGCTTCGTGAGACCACCTGACGTGGCCGATGTGTTGAAGGAACTCCCTGGGTGCCGGCTCCGCATGAAATCAAAACCAGACCGTCATTTTACACACAGATACGTCTGCCCACGGGTAACACGTCTCCGAGCCAGGAGGGCTGCAGAGAGTGTTGTCTGGGCAGTGCAGGTCTGTACTGGGAGCTCTGGAAAAGGCCTGAGGCAGACTCACCCAAACCAAGTCCTGCCTCTGGGTTTTACTCCACCTTGAGCTCCTAGACAATTGAATGAGTCCATGACTACACCCGTCTTTCTCAGCCTGCAGCAGGCGAGGGATTGACAAGACCTAAAACTCCATCTGGAGCCAGTCTCCTAGTTCTGAACCCTAGGCCACCCTTGTCCTGTCTCGTTCCCTGGCACATCAGCCTGCATGCTATCAGACGTTATGTGACTCTTAATAGCTGTGATATATATTAAGAATACAGCAAAAATACATTTCTACATGAAGATTTAAATTGCATCCTCCAAGGTATGAGTCTTTTAATTCATCACTCTCACTAGACAGATTCGTTTCTTGTGAAAACTTCATTGCTTTGTGTTGTGCAGGTTTTCACACGTTAGGGCAAACACAATTTATGAATCACCCGTCGCTATTTCTGATACAATCATTCATTCTTTATAAAAGGGCTAAACGTAAAATAAACTTCATACTATAAACACTTTATTTGTTCAGATTGCTATGAAATTAAAAGAGCTGGCATAATATTGGTAATGGAGTGAGGAAGAATAATAGTGGGAGATACCTCCCCTACTTTCAGCCGTGTTCCCGTATTGTAAGGGTTAAATATTAGTAACGGACCTTCATTATTTCATTATATCATTCTTGAAAAACACAATAGAAAATCATTTCCTACTGAAGCTGCTCCCACCCTCTGTGCTCACCTCCTGTGGGATGTGAAATTTATCCACCACGCCCAGCTCATAGTACATTGAAATCCCACATTTCACCAGGTCCAGCTCAGAGTGGTCAAAATCACAGAAGTGGAACTCGTAGATCTCAGATTCCTCCGGGTCTGGAAGCTCTTCCTCCTGAAAGAGGTGGTAAGCCATTGGGAAAGAGGAATCGGACATCAACAAATGTGAAAATCGAAACCGAAATGATATGTGCAGCTACAGTATGTGGCGTATACTGTATCGTCATTTAATTAACTCTCTATGGTTTTCTATGGGAAAGGAGTAGGGAGTGTAATAAATACATTTAAAGGTGGCATTGATATCTGTGTTTTTCACATGTACAGCCATATAAAGTAATGTACTATAAATGTCTTAAATGTACAGTACAACAAATAAGAAAATGAAAAGAGGAAAATTGTCAGGAGACTAATGCAAGTATTCCACATGTATTCAGAGCCAGTCGGAGGACTACCACCGGAGGAGATGTCCACCCCGATGACAGCTGCCCATGGCAAATCACTGTTGCTCATCAGGCAGACTGAACCCAAGGGGTTCACCCATTTTCCCAGCTGTGTGCAACACAACCTGGGCTTGCTGCCATAACAAGAATAAGGGACGATACAATCTACAGAATCATTTATATTTATATTGATCACTGTACTTCCCTGGCATATTAGAAGACCAGGTCCAGAATTCCTCACTGCTGTTGTGTATCGGTCAGTATTTGACAGTTCTGCCTGTTTTCATTGCTTTCTGATTTCCTGTCCTCTTGTGCGTCACACGACTCCGCGCAAAGTCACAATGTTTGGGTAATGTCGGCAGCCGCGCAGGTTACCTTAGAGCGTCTCTCCTTTCGACTTCTCCCCCCGGCCCCCGAGTCCTGACGAGCCCCCTTAAACTCACCAGAATGGCGAAAAGCTCGTCTTCCTCGCAGTCCTGTGGCTCTCTTCCGTACACCTCTTGCGTTTTCTACAAGCAAAGCAAACCGCTGAGCGCGTCACACTCCCAGCTGAAGGCCATCTCTGATGCACCAGGCTCTTCGCTGTTTAAACAAGCCTCTGTCACTTTCACAGCAGCCAGACCACACTTGTTGTCCCAACTCTCTCTCCACGTCTCAGCTGAGACTGTTCTCTGCTCCGCACAGCATGATCAGATTGCTTTGTGCCACAGCCTGCTCACTGTTCACATATACTGTGCTTCTGTCATTCAGCTTGTTATGGTCTTTGTATCTTGTCCTGTATTTGTGCTGCACTGCATAATGTATGAGGTTTTGGTAGTACCTTGTATCAATGCTAATCTGCTTTACTCAGGACCGCTCTGTAGGCTTATATAACATTTTATATATATATTACATATTCATATAAATTAGAATAATTTCTTTAGTTTGCTTTTTAACAGAGGACCCAAATTAGTAGAAATTAGTAGAAAACATTTATAACCTCTAATATATATGGTTTTCTGAGCTGACACCCTTAACTAAGATGACATAATATATACCAAGTCAATACTGACTGTAACCAGATGACTACACAGCTACACAGGCCATTTAGTACACTTGCTGTTTCTTCAACACATTGATTGGAAACTGTTGCCTGTACGCTAGTGTGCTAAAAATTAAAACCCCCAAAAATAACCCACAGAGAAAACATGCAGTACTGTGGGTTCTAATTATGGTGTATTTAATTCTAAAAAGTGGCAAATGTTTTGCTGCTGCATTTTTTTCTATGAAATGCCAAGTCTCATTGTTTACCATCTGGGAAGTGGTCGGCTTTTGTGCTCAACTGTAGAAATACAGCAGTACGATATTTTAAAATGTGAATGCAACCATATTACATATTAACAATGTCAATATCCTGGTAGAAACAGACTCCCTAATAATGAATACCATTTATTTACCAGTATCAAGGTGTTATGGTACAGAAATACAAATACTCTATTAATGGTGTGTAGCTGCGTCAGCATGCGTAGGCTGCAAAGGAACAAGTAATAGGTTTATTCCATGCTGGAAAAAAAAGAAGAAAGAGAACACAACACACCTGAAGAAGGCTCCACGGCCGAAACGTTGTGTTCTCTTTCTTCTTTTTTTCCAGCATGGAATAAACCTATTACTTGTTCCCTTGTACTCTATTAATGTACATCTAAATGTTCAAACCCTATATAACAGACCTGACCCTGCCCTTTGAATATGTATGCAAAAGAAATCCGCAATGACAATCAAAGATAGTAGATTCTCTCAAGTCTCACAACAAAATGAAAAGCAACTCGAAAACCACTGCAGGCCCAGTGCACACCCTTCACTTATTACACGATTGTGAGAATGTGCGCCAGTGAATGAATGTTACAATAACTCCAGGCCCTTTGGCGGCCTCTAGTGGTAGGCTGTGCGTAATTACAGCTCCTGTTAAGGTCAGTGTTTTTGTTGGCATTTGTGCCGATTCAGAATCAACACTGAGATAGCAGCTGACATGACCTGGGCCTGGCGCATATCCCAAAAAAACCCAACCACTCCCGTTTCATTTTGTAAGGCTTGAGAGATTCCCTACTGAGATTTTTTTTTATGTTTCTACGTTTCGTTTTCCCTACCAAGATGAGCTGGAGCTCGTCCTTCCTGCACTTGACGTGGTAGAGGACCATGTCCTGGAAGATGTCCTTCCTGTTCTCCAGCTTGTTCATCTTGTCGTACGTGTCGGTGTTGAGAACCGACCAGCCGAGGAACTGGGCGAGAGACTGCAGGGGCGCGCCGAGAGAGAGGATGGACAGGCGTCAGCCCAGCTTTACTCTTCCAAGTGCCCATCGGTCATCACAAACTTTTATTTGATATGACACCTATAAAAGTGGGCTTCGCCTGACCTCTAGTGGGGAGGAAGTATAGTGCACCCTGGCAGCTCAGACTGGACTACATGTGTCGTCCAGACAGGTCTAACCTCCTTGCTTAATTGGCAACTCGAGTTGGAACAGAAAGACAAGAGACTACGGCCTCCAGGAATCACGTCAGAGACCTAAACAGTGAGTACTTCCCCACGGTGCAGGAGATTAGGACTCCCAGAATCACCCCACAAATACCTTCTTACACCTTGCTTGCTAACTCAGCATAACTTTAAGGCAAAGACTAATGAAAATATTAGTAATTGAGGTTTTTAGAAAACCAAATTGGTAGGTTAATGGGTTTCTAGCCCTGGTGTGAGTGTGTTTGTGTCTCTCTGCCCTATGATGGACTGGCATCCTGTCAGACTTGCATCCTGGACAGAAGGATGGAGGTCTGCATACACCAACACCAAAGAGCAGTAAAGCAAAAATAATAAAAAATCGTGAATCTTCTTCAAGACATCACAATCTTACGTTTTATCTAAAAGTCAATTATTTTATAAGGATGAATTATGAGCCTAAAGTTTCCATTTCTTAGTGCTGCGTTACTGTAGTGGAAGCGTGCTAGTCGGTGTGGAGCACCTCCATGAGCGTTTCGTCCATTTCGTCAAAGGGCTTCCCATCCTTCCTGTTGTAGAAGGTGGCCACGCCCACGATTTCCTCTTTCTTGTTGACAATGGGCATTGAGAGCACATTCTTGACCACCCATCCGGATTCATCCAAGGGCTCTTTCTTGAGAGAGCACAAGATGAACGACATGAGCACGTCATACAGATCACTATCACTTTATCGCCCATATACAATGTTTGTACTGTATTAGGAATTTGTCTTTTCGCATACCCCAGCTTGCTCTCCATGATTCAATACATAATGAATACAGTAGGTAACTCACCATGAGTAGAATCACAAGATCATATTGCAGTCACTGTTTTCATTTTAAGGATCTGGAATTGTTTTTTTATAATTCATTTGATGTTATTCTAACTCTTGAGCCTAACAAAACTCTTTTTACATTACTGTTCTGATGACATGAGGATGAGAATACTGCTTGTTCCCTCTGTGAATTAGCTGTACGCACTGACAGAGCATTCCAAGGGTTAAACTTGTGCGGCTTGCCTGAGTGACGCTGCTCGTTAGACATATTCATTAAGATTCGCAAATATTTAGTGCTTTAGATGTTTGTTGCTATGGGTGGCTGTGATACTCTGTATATAGATTGGGAATAATTCAACATTTTACCTGAAATTTAAAGACGTCATCTGCTGCTGCATTCATTATGTTGCAAATCTATAAAAACAAATGGAGAAGAAAGCAATTATCGAAGCTGTTTTGTTTTTTTTGCTTGTGTTTACATTCTCATAAGTTGACTATAATTATCATCTTATTGTTTAGTTCCCAGAGCAGGCAAGGCGAAAATTAAATGTGGATGTGCTAAATAAGCCACAAGCAGGCTGTTTGTAAAGTCAGTTGATATGGTGAAAATGTGAACTGGGCATCCTTTGATGCAGAGCCACTAGATATAAACATGCTGAGCCTGAAGTTTCATCCCATGCTGTCACTGAGAGGCTGAGGTTTATATCTGGCTGCTGAACCAGATATCATTCTCCTCTCTGATACCAGCTTATGAACTGAATCCCAAAGGCCACTGTGTTTATGAAAGAAATCATTTTAAAAATTGTACTACTTCCTCAACCCTGACGGCTCTTACCAGCCCGGTTTCAGCCACATAGGTGGGCAGCCCACTGACAAGAGCCCAGTGATCAGCAGGTGGGTTCCTGGAAAACAAACATGCAAAATCTGATCTAAGTGAACGTTCATATGGCTTTGGGGCTTTAAGATTTCATTTTGTATATCTAATTTGTTATATCTAATCCTGTTACCTGAAATCCTATTCCACAGTGGCATGAATGTTAAAACTCAGAGCCAACTTAAAATTGCATTAATGTTTTCTTTCCGATAGAGACCCAAGGTTACTTAAATACATTATAAAAAGATCTGATGACTTACGGAATGACTTTGATGTCTTCCTTTCCATGCAAGATATAGTCGATGACTTTGTAAAACACAATTTCCTAAAAACAGATGAATGTTACATTGTGAATCATTGTCTTGTGTTTAGACCAATAAGGCATATCCAATAAGAGATACACAGACTGTAGTTCTTCATTTAAGTCTAAATTAATTGCAAACATTATGCAAATTAAACTTCATATTGTTTAATTATGTAAATTTTTTAAACATATGGACTACTTTTAAAAAGAAAGGTATCATGTTAAAATCAATGATTTCATTTCCCATATCTGGGTTGATTCTGTGGTTTTCATTACTGCCTTACAACATGCGATATCTCCCCCCAAAAATACTGTAAAAATACAATAAGCAAACACCAAAAAAGAAATCTGCAGGCCAATAATTAATGGGGAGCAGTGTGGAACAGTGGTCAGGGCTGTGGGCTCCAGACCTCTGTAATCAGAACGTTGTGGGCTCAGCTGCTTGAACAAGGTACTTCAACCACACTGTTCACATAAGATACCAAGCTGTATAGATGGAAACTAAGGTTGGTTGATTTGGGTGACAGCATCAGCAATTAATAAAGTTTTAAAAGAGTACCCACTCTGCCGTCTGGGGTTTTGGGACCGGAGTATGGAGGTACTTCTCCCATCAGCACTGGCCAGAGATCGAAAAATTCCTGCAACAAGAGAGAGAGCTTAACACAGCACCCTATCACACCCTCCACTGCCTCACAGCTGAGTCTGGACACCTGCCCCTCACACCCTCCACTGCCTCAGAGATGAGGCTGCCTCACTTTCCTCTGGTTGCCCTGTACAGTATGTCTACAACATAATGTTCAGAATCCTTAATATTGAGAACGTTAACACCTGACTTAGCGTGCCACTCTGCCATTAATTTAATTAGACTATTTTGCATTTGTGCACACACTCCTTTAATCACATCCTTAGGTAATACTTGTTTTCTCTCTTTTTTTAAAAGTAATTTTGAAATCTGTGCATTTTTATAGGCACCACATTTCTTCTAATAATGCTCTGTCTCTTCTACTGTCCAGGGTTTCACAACATTAGACAAAAAAATAACAAATCATCTTATTTTTATTATAGAGCACGTACTGTACAGTATATACTGGAGAAGCATTTGCTCTTGCCCTAAGATATGGTATCTGAGTAGGTAGCAATGGTAATAAAAAGCTTTGATTTCTTTCAAGCAATGCATTCCACCGTAATTCATTACTTGATCAATCTCGTGTACTCCGTTGATAGTAACTTAAAGAGGATCTCATCCTGCCCATTCTTCCAAGATCCCAGAAAATGTCTGGAATATTGTTTCAAACAGTCCAGTAGCCTGTGGCCTTTCAAATCTAAAGTGGGGAAGAGATTTTTGGCCTTGTTGGTGACATAAAAAAGCGAGGAGATCTCGGCTCCTGGTGTTTTGTGCTCACCTTAGTTTTGGTCATATCGAGGAGGCCTACGGAGTAGCGGTCACAGTTCAGGAAGGCCCGTACTGTATAGAGGGCCTTGTGGAACTGCCGCTCGATGTCAGTGAGCTCTTCAAAGACTTTGCTCGCAGACCAAAGCAACACCTGTCAGCGAGGGACAGAGGACAGCTTCAGATCAGTGCGACCCATGCTGAAGAACGACTCTTTGTTGAAAAGGAACTTGAACAATCATCTATCAGATCATTCTTAAACATGGAAAACTGTAGGCTTTCACTTGAACACCAGCGCGAAGCCTTGAAAATGATTGACTGTATCGAGCTAAATAATTATGCTGGATGTGTTTTCGACACGGTGCGTTATTTAAATGAACAGATCTGATCTGCTGTGGGCAAACATTCCGATTGACTTCCATTTTCATTGGACTTTTCGACCAATTGAACTGCAGTGGAAAAGTAAGGATTTCTATCACAGAACCAGATTGCTTCACCTGTCCTCGTCTGGTTTCGCAGTTGTGAAGGTAGCTGAGATGGAAAATCCTCAAAATCAAATTGCCGAAGTTGAGATACTTCATCAAAGTCTGCAAGAGATGGCAGAATCACTTAATGGAGAGAGAAGCACAAGATTGTCAGGTAAACAAAAACTCTGTCGTTTCCAAAAACTAAATTCATCCTGTAATGACTGGAATATAGATCAATTACAGGCAGTTTTATGGAATCTAATGGAAAATGAACATGGATAGCCGTCGCATCATGCAGGTGGGGCTGCACATTGGGGTTGGTGGAGGGGATCCCCATTACCTGTAAAGTGCTTTGAGTGGAGTGTCCAGAAAAGTGCTATAGAAGTGTAAGGAATTATTATTATTATTATTATTATAATTATTATTATTAGTGTTTTAATCCTGGGCACAGTGGCTTGTTGCTGTTTTTCACAAGGCTCTGAATTAGCTTGATAAGAATTAAAAAAACAACATCACCAAGCCTCAGGCTTTTCGTTGGCAACCTTTCCAGTGGGGAAGGTTTGTCAAAGGTCAGCGTGGTCCCAAATGCTGGTTATATACTCTATACCCAAAACATAATGAGTACAGGAGGAACAAGAGGTGTACGTTCACGCAGTGTAATAGACCCCGAAGATGACCTACTGTATGTAAACTGGACCTGGAGTCCAGTCCAGGGCATGGAGGGCTGGTTTGTCTGCAGGTTTTGTTCTAATGTAGTTCTTAGTGACAGAAATCAGCAAATTTGTCGGCTTAATTGAACCAGTTTAGCAGTTTTCTCCAGCTACAGACACTCCAGCGCACCAGTGCATGGACTGGACAACCCCTGGTTTATGCTAATAAATGCTATTAAAAAAAAAACATTCCAATAAAAAAATACTGCAGAATTATTCTCGGCATGAATACAACTGGTGCTCACCAATGTGATTTGGGGTCAATCACAGCTGCTTCTGGCAAAGAGTTAATCCCGTTCAGGCAGCACCATCAGCAGCATTTATAACCAAATAATGGAAACAACGCAAAATCACATGAGCAGGTGTAGCCCTAGCAGAGGTTTACTGTTTCAGGTTGTGATCCCCGATGACCACATCCTTCATGGGGTGTAACTCCCCAAGCTCCAGATATGCGCTGTACCTCCTGGTCTTTGGCGGTGAAGTGTGGAGCCCCAACTTTGTTAACCGCCATCATGACTGCCACCATGTCTTTGCCGTTCAGAATGGGCGTGGCCAGGATGTTCTTGGTTTTGTAGTCAGTGAGCTGGTCCACGAAGTCGCTGAAGTTGCTGTTCTGTGGAAGAGGCCAGGGAAGAAGAAAAGCATGTCACTCCCTGTTTCTGGCAAATGCATGAAAAAGCCTAAACTCAGGCTGAGCCTCCTTGTGACATTTGCACAACAAATGTCATCATAATTCAAACAATCTGTCAATCTATTTTTATATAGTATATACATCCTGCATAGTATATCACTTCAAAGAGCTTTGCTGGAAAATACAGTATGACATACAGAACAGTACATACTGTATAGTGTCATGGCTTACTGTGTTTGGCTCCGGCCTCCCCCATAACCCTGTACTGGATATAGAAAATTGATTGATATACTGTATAGCATAGTAGACAATAGTTATCAAACATAAATTATTGCATGAATACAAAGATTGTGAACAAAATCTTAAATTAATTAAGATCTACGTAAATCCTATGTAAATAATTTCACTCTTTGGCCTTAGAAACAACAATACTGTAGTAAAGCTGGTTTTCCATTAAGTGGCATTATTAAGTATCAAAAAGTAGGCAGTGTGTTTTCATGTCTTCTTTGATGAAATATGGACAAGTCTCCAAACTACAGACTCGTTTTAACCCCAGCACTTCTGCCTGTCTGTCTGTGTCTGTCTGCTCATGATCCTGGGGTCCCTGAGGCTAATGTACCAGATGCTGGTGTGTTGGTGGCTGCTCCATTTGTTTCTAGGTGTACTGTATGTATATATGTTTTTCTTTTGTATGCAGCAAAAAATATAGTCTCACTCATCTGTCTTATGTTCACGCTCATTGTGAGGTTATGATATTATAATGTTCAAAATTATTTACTGCCCCTTTTATAGTCTACATGACACCAACGCTAACTCACCATCCCAGACCAAACTTGTCTAGTTTTTCTTATTTTCTGTTCCCACACCCCTGGCTCATTTGAATCAGGAAACAATTAATGCTCAACATCTGTGCACGACATCTGGGGGAGACAGCACAGATGTGACGGAAGAGTTGTAAGGCTCTTCGGTGAATTGTGGGGGCCCCACTGACCAACGTTTCCTTGAATGACTTATTTTGATGAGTTTCTTTCGAGGAGTAGGACCTGCTGCGCTCAAAGTCTTTTTAACATGCTGTGGAGCAGTCACACTTGTGCACCCTGGTGGGAGAGCCAGGCCTCAGTGTTTATACGGGACACTGTCAATGTAAATAAGTCTCCATACAGTCTCTATACTCTAGACTTGTAAATAAGTCTCAAGATCCTCCTCTGGGTTTAAACACTGTACGGAAATAGAACGCAAAAAGGTCTTTGGAAAGAAGCCGTGTCAAACAGTTTTGCTGACTAGATGAGCTGTGACAGCTTTGAGGGCATGCCCTCCAAAATAATCCTGGATCGTTCTAATTAGATCCAGGATTATAGGAGTTTAATCTGTTTCCACTCTAGTCTGCTCCCCAGGCCGAGGTGGAGGGAAACCTGCGGTTCAGTGGTGCCTCATGCCAAGAACCTGGGATGCGAGGCTCAGAGTGGAAGAAGTGCTGCTTTGTTCGATTGGTCAGAAAGGACAGGGCTGTATTGTGTTCACTGCTCTGACGTACAGATTCTTTTAAAAGAGAGGGGTGCCCAGCCCCAGCCCTTCAGGTTTCATGGGATGTCTCCAATCAGTTGCTAAAGATCACCTTAATCCTGATGAATTAACCCAGTAACAGGTTCGGTGCAATTATCCCTTAGTAATGTTGTTGCTCCTTTTACTTTTCCCTGGGTCTCATCACTTCCAGTTACTTCCCTAGTGCCTCTCCAAGACCTGTCTGGAAACCAGGGATACTTCTGCAGGGTCTCCCGAATCCATGTCGGGATTGAGGGGAATCCCTGTCACTTTTACAGATGGGGACACCTGACAGGTCAGATGCTCCACATTAACCAGCACAACCCTGAGACCATAGAAAGTTGCAATTTATCATTTTAAAGATAATAATGTGCATTATGGAACTGGACACCATATATGGAAACCAGTACATTGTACACTTTAAACACAGTATACGGTATGTACAGTACCTTAGGTTCTAAAACAGCCTGGTAATGGAAAAAAAAAACGAATTCCTCATCATTTCCACTCAAAAACACTGAGCATCAAACCATGGATATTGCACCATATTTTCAGACCTTGTAGCATTTGAACATCCTCTTTCTGAGCTCAGCATGTTACTTATTTGGTAGCATTTCGACAGTAACATGTCAGGGAATCAACACTAACAATGGAAACAGAAAACCCACGTCGAAAGATGTTTATCACATGCACTGTTGAAGACCAATGTAATTCTCTCCTTTTTCTATTACAGCATCTGTTACAAAAATAATTGCACCATTGAATTATGTCCCCATTTTCCTTTTTATATTAATACATGTCAGCAATCCTTGATGTTAAATGTTCAGCTTAAGTTAAGTTAAAAGAGGTGTAAATTTGGGGCTCAGAAATGAAGGCTCTTTACACAAAGAGATGTAGGTGTCTGGAACAAGATACCCAACTATGTAAGGCATACTGATTGCTGGGATCCTTCAGAAAAGGCTGGATGAGATGCTCAGATTAATAAACTAATAGCAAACAGCAAACAAATGAACTAGATGAACTACATGAACTACAAACTCTTCTTGTTTGTAACATTTTTTATGTTCTTATGCTATAATGTGTTTTCTTTCATCACTACAGATGTGACAGGACTGTAGTCCCACTATACAAAGGTCAGGACAAGAAACACAGGGCACAATTTCTTACAATATAATCATTTCATAACTCGGTTAAAGTAATAAACATCTGTCCCTGTATTTCTATTTCTGTACAAAGTACAGACAACTCAATTATTATCACTTCATTCAACCCAGATAAATGATGCCTATCGGGAATACTCTACCACCTGTGTTTTGTCCACCTCTACGGTCTTATACCCTTTAAACAGTGTGACGGGGAGAGTCCGTAAGGCCTTTAGCCTTTCTGGCCTCCCAGCTCTGGGTTGGGTAATGAGGTGCAGCAGACCAGCTTTTCATGGAGAAAAATCCCAGGAACAATCTAGGGAAACTATTCAGTATAGGAGTTGCAAATTCAGATTTAAGCCCCTTATAACTCATAAGACATAAAGACAGCAGGGACACAGTTCTTTAAACTTATATTGAATTAACATAAGCTTCAGGTGAAGCATAAAAATAAAAGTAATGATATGATAGTTAAATAAAATATAAAAAAGTATTCATTTCTTCTTTGCATTTCTGCTGGTATTTTTAGAAGATGACACTGCAGGTAAAGAGGCACAGTGGCGCAGTGGTCAGCACTGCTGCCTCACATTTCTGGGGCTCTAGGTTCAGCTCTGGACTGGACTGACAGTCTGGCTTTCTGTTTCGTTTGGGAATGAAGGTGTGTGGTGGTTCTGGGAGTGAGGCAGGTGTCTGTATGGCATTTCCTATGTTATTCCTGCTAAATAAAGTCACTCTCTGCACACCTCCTGTGTATTATTGCAAGTGGTTAACACTGGGCAGACAGAAGGATATTCCTTAGTTTCTGAAAGAACTTAAGATCAAGGGGAAAAGGTTCTAAGCTAGAACTCCATGATCTCTGACTCACTCCGAGTCAAAGGACCGAGTCTACAACATCTGTACAGCATCTGGACACCTGCCCTGCGGCGTCCAGTCTGTGAGCACCCCACTGCATATGGCCTCTGAAGCCTGGCTCACTGTGATTAATCTTCCTCAAGAAGAAAGCTTGGCATTTGAATCACAGGCTTTTACATCTCAACTTAAAAAAAAGCTTCTTGGCAAAACATCTAATCAATCTCGGATCGAATCTTCTGCATCTCAGAAGGGAAACCTAAAATCTGATTTTCATGGAAAATAAATCTGAGGGCTGGCATGAGCCCAGTCCCAGGATATGCTGGCACGAAAGACTGACAACTCCTTTCATCAGCCAGCGGCTCCTCCTGTACTCTTCCTCTCACCCCTCTCCTCAGACGAAAGCCCTCTTGCAATCTTGTATTTCACAATAAGCACATTGATGTGGTGGCGAAACCCTTCTTTAGGAACAGGTTTTGAATGTGAATGAACTTTCACACACACACACATACACAAACACACACACACCCACGTCCAAGCCAGACAAGTCCGGCAGCCTTGGCTGACAGATGTTATTTCTGTAGCTGCTGTACAAGTTTGCAAACTCCACCTTCTGTCACAGAGATATACCCTAGCCATCGGATGTGCTACTGTGCTCTGTGAGTGCAAATGCCACAGAAATACAGCACAAACAGGCGTTCTTGACCACGGTGGGAAAGGTATCAAAGCTTAATCGTGGGAGAATCCGGCCTCCACTGTTCTGTTTGTGTGACACAAGCTATGCAGCCAGATCCCCTGGGAGATAGTTGAATGAGAGCTGTGCTTTATGAAACTCCTAACAAGAAAATCAGTAAGGTTACTCACAAGACTCAGTTTTTCCATAGACCACCTGGTTATATACAGCAAGGGGATACAGAATCCAGTCCTTCACTGGCCATGCGTAGACAGCTAACCTCCATGCCTTCAGAGGGCCCTCCCTTGTGTTTGCGCTCTTCCCTGTGAATTGCTGGGAAGTTAACCAGAACGCCATGGGACGCCCAAGGGGCTTTCCTGTTTTAACTGCTATAGATCTCGGCTCTGGAAATCTAGGGAAAGCTCACAAGCAGGTCTCAGGCAACTGCGCAACGAAACACACAGATACACAGATTTAACATACACAGATATAATAAATATATACAAATGGAAAAGAAGCGCCTTCTTTTTTCATTCTAAGACAGGCAACCCCTTGATCTTCACTTGTGTCCTCCTCTCACCCGCGTCCCTGAGGGCTTCCTCTAGACTGATAAACTCGCTACCATTCAACGCAGCACCAGTCATCTTCTGACGCTTTTCCTATTTTACTTTCGTCCCCCCCAAGATGAGCAGATAGTTGTTGAAAAGAAACTATCGAAAGTGGCGTCCCACCGGCTTGCAAACCAGAGGTTCAGAACCACAGTGTTTTTGCGAACCTACCTGGCTCCCCAGAAAGAACACCAAGGACTGGTGGATCTTCACCCAGTCTGGTATAAATTACAATGCGTGACAGCTTTTACCTACATGAAATCCCCAGCTCCCGGGGCAGGCGGGGTTCTTTTCTCGAAAGGAAAATCTTTTGCACAGATTTCGGTGCCATTTCTAGAGCTGTGCTGGCTGGAGCACTCTGGGTAGTGCCCCTTGCCCAAGCTCAGAACCGTAGCGTCCACACCTGGGGTCTGAACCCACGTCCTCCAACGTCCAGAGCTTTGACCACTGCCGCGCAGAAGGATCGCTCTTTTCGTCGACCGGGGGCTGCTGATTTGGGGGTGAAAGGCTTGCCTTTGTACAGCCCCCGGAGATCCCCAGGGGAGCCCCCTGCGCCCCTGAAATCCACCTGCAGTGCGTTTGCCCAAACACACACGTCACTGGCACGAGGTCCAGCACAAGCGTGCGGTCAGAGCAGTTACCTGAGTGACGTCGGGAACGTTGATGGTCTTCTTGGAGGTGGCCACGTAGCCCACGATCCCAGTGTCCAGCGGGTACACGATCTCGCTGTCTGGCGGCACGAGGCACTGCTCCAGCGTGGCGTCCTTGTGCACGTTGAAAAGCCGGGTCGCGAGCTCGCCCGTGCCGTTTCGCATCCTGAACATGAAGAGGCTCATGCGGTCGGCCGTGAGCAAGAAGCTCAGGTGCCGCATCAGGTTGAAGACGGACTTCTCCATCTGCAGGTTCTCCTGGATGTCGCGGATCAGGTCGAACACGATCTCGCTCTCCTCCACGCTGGTCAGCTCGTGGAAGCTGCTGAAGTCCACCTGCATCGTTTTGCACGACAGTAAGCTGGCGATGGCCGCTGGCCGCAATTTGTTGTCATAGTACTTCTTGGCGAACACAGGGTTGCTGTCCAAATATTTCTCAGCCACTTCTGCGTTGACTACGGCCATTTTACCACAAGGGGTGCGCCTCTTTTCTGGGGTTGGGGGAAGAGAAGAGCGATACTGGGAGTACCTCCAGCAGAAAAGACCCCCCCAAGAAAGTTAATCAAGTGTCTTTCACAAAACACTCTGATTTCTTGCTGGGAGTGTAATTGTGCATTGCATTCGTGACTAGAGGAAGGAGAAACAGAATGAAAATGTTTTCATGAAGGGATGGAAAGATCAAGGATATCCTCCAGCAGGGTCCTCGGCTCAGTACTGGAAGTGCACAATCAGGACAGGCTCCATTTCACGTTATTCCTGCTGGTCCGTGGCAGCTAGACTGTTGGGCAGCTGAGACAGAACAGGGATTAGCAGGATTGTTTTAAACAACCACATGGTCTCCCCCTAATCTGGCATCCAATTACACATCAGGATTATGGAATTCACACATCTCACCTGGTCATGCTGGGCAGCAGTTTGTGAAGTGGTTAGTATAACGAGCATCAGAAGAAGCGTGTCTCTACATGGTTTTAGAAAGAAAATAGAGTAAGGCTATTGTTAAGTATTATCTGGTGTCATCTTCATCCTTCAAGCCAGAAGATAATGCACAATTGTTTTGGACTGTTGCATGAACCCTAAATCACCTTGTAAGCAAGAAAATTGATTGGGCTCAGGTGAATATCAACCTGTCGAGTGAAAATCAATTACAAAAAACACATCCAAGAGCAAGTGCAATGATCTGGGCAGGAGTGTCCCGTCTGTTTGTAGCAATTGATTGCAATCTCACCGCACAGTGTTACATTGATCAAGGCCTGGGGCCTCACCTGGTGCCTTTCCTGCAGACTAATGACAGATGTGACCATATTCCAGCAGGACAGCACACATCCACATGCTGCTCCTGTAAAAACAGCTTCCTTGGGAGATGAGTATGTGACAGTTACAGTGTGTGGTAACTGTACTTGCTAGATGTGAACCTCACCTACTGTAACACCTCTGGAATGAGCTGGGATGACATGTGCCATCTGGGGCTCAGAGACCCGTGAACAGTATCAAGCTCGTCCGAGCTGTATGAGAGAAATGGGGCAGAATCCCACAAGACAGCATCTGCAGCCGGGAGCAAAGCGTGATGCCTGTACAGCTGGAGATGCTTCTGTCAGTCACCACATATACCAGGGGACTGTGACTTTCACAGCTGACTCCCTGCTGATCAACACAGTTAGGACCAGTTCATCAGCATAATGAATTCATGCCATCTATGCCATGTCTGTCCAATAAAATGGCAGTGCACCTGCTACAAAATGTGATTTACCTGATAACTTTGTGAATTTCTTGAAATTATAGGTGACACATTTCCTTTACTGCTCAGCATACACTGGCCTGATACAGGCGTGAAGGCGTGAGAACAGTACTCACTGTCCAGGTTAGACAAGAAATCTGGACATTAGAGGCTCCATGTAAAAGCTCAGAGTTGTTCAACAAGAGTGCTGCTGAGAAACACCATTGTATCGAATCAGTATAATAGCTTTTGTTTTATATAGTGCATCATCTCAAGGTACTGTATCATAAAACATTCAAGACGATAAACAAAATTAGACAAATAAAACAGTACATTAATCAGGAGTACATTACCAGTTCTAATTTCATTTGCCTGTTTTATTCCCAACAGAGAGAATAATGACCCAGGATGTAGAGATATGGAACTATTTTAAGGGTCTTTAATAAAGGTCTTGAAATGAAGGGTTGCATGACCAGAGTCTGTATGTTTTGGTAGCTGAGTGGCCAACGATGCTGACATGAGACGTAGTGTAGATGTCAGGGACTCAGATGAAAAGGAAAGTGCTGAGGCTGAAGGCACAGTAGTAACTGGTAGTGTGTAATGTGGAAAGAAGATGATAAAATTAGGACTAAAATAAGGTATCTGATGCAACTTTATTGCCTTGACCCATAGTAAACTTTTTAAAAAAGAAAAAAAACTTTCAACGATACACCTTCTCTGAGAAAGTCGCACAGAGTAGAATAGAAAAATATCAAAAGGCCTTCCTTGCCTAATCTCTTTCCTTATTGGATTGTATTTCTCTCGATCACAAAATATAAAAATGACAAAAAGAAGATAAATGATTGATTGGTCCATACTTTACATCAGAAGGATCAATTATTTCCACGCTCCATGAAGCAACAGGACGTCTGTTGTAATAGTTATGTCATGAGGCAATTTCCCTTTTCTTTTTTGAGGACAAAAGTGAAGTCAGTCCACTTTGCACATGAGCAATTCTGGGTTTTTTTAAACAGAAGGCATGCAGTGCACTTTTCACTTGAATGTACCAGACATTTCCTTGATATTGCTGAATTCAATTTAATTAAGATTTAGCAGCCTTCAAAAACAACCCGACAAGAAAACGAGTCCAAGGATTAGTTACTTAACAATAAAATCTACTGTAACACAGTACCCAGCTACTGCTGAAATCTGCCCTTCACGGTCCATTATTATAAGACTCCTAAGAAGAAATCGGCTTAAAATTCTTTATCTGGTACTGAGGTGCTGGGTGTCTCCCTGCAGAGAGAAAAACACAGGAGCTTAGGTTAGACGAGAGATCTGAGCATTAGAAGCTTCTTGCAAAAGGGTAGGGTTACTCCACGAGAGCGCTGCTCAAAACCCTTACTGTATATGTCGAATTAGTAAAATAACTTTTGTTCTATATAGTGCATAATCTCAAGGCGCCGGATAATAAAGCAGTCAAAGCAGACACGGAATTGCACAATAAAACGTCGTTAAAATTCGTTAGAAAACAAAAAGTGTTAAGTAATCAGAATTCAAATGCTGGAGTATTAAAAAAATGAGTTTTAAGACAGACTTTGAGAGTGCCGACTGAACAATTGACTGGGTCCATCAAGATCACATCCGCAGCCGGGTGTTCGGCAGCTGAGTGATGAAGACGTGTCTTTGGACAGCGTCCGAGCACACCGATATAATACAAAAACACCTCCTTATGCAACGGCAAACTGCCAACATACAGTACGTTTAAACTGATGTTTTCGCGAAAACGAGCCTCCTAATATTAATTAAAAATGCTGACGCCTCTCGTAATTATTCCCTTATATCGAAATATTGTTATAACCAAAAAAAAAAGAAATATTGTTATAACCTGTTACTGTGCTGTGCTCAATTAGAACAGGTTTTCACTACGACCACAAGAGGGAGCTGATGAACACTTTCAGGCGGCCGATCTAAGTTCGTCTCAATTTCTTACAACAGCAGCTCTAGGGCTGAAGTTTGCACTTAAAGCACACAGCACTCTTCATCAGGTTCCGGTTGAAAGGACTACAGTGCTTCAGTTTTTATAGATTTCTAAATGGACCTAAAACATATTGTTGCTTTATATCTCCAGCCTCACACGCTAGCAATCCTTACAAATGGAGTATATTTGCATTCGAACCTGTACAGTTCTATTGCAAGCGTAATCCATTTCAATGGTACCAACAACGCATAAAATATCTTGTTTTGCTGCCAGTAAAAGGATGCAAATTCTAGGATGAATCTGGCTTTCACAGTCTAAAATTGTAACCAGGGGTTAAAAGCGGGTTTTAACCTGTGGTGGTCTTAGCCTGGACATTATCAGAATGTACTGGCCGCATTCATAGTGCATCAGTTTTAAAAGATGATAAAGGTTTCATCAGCATGTCACTGCTGATTCCGGAAAAAAACTCACTGGGTTGAATTGGCCTTTGCCTCTGAGGAATTCAAACACATCAGAGCCCCTACTAGTCTATAATAATCATATACTACGATCTGATTTTTATTTTAATTGGTCAACGCTTGGAGAGGATTTCTTGAAAGCTGGTCCTACAAGCAGAGAAAACTGAAAGCCTTTGGTCTAAATTGCTCCACTACACTGTAATGAGAGCTTTCCCTACAGGGATATTGAAGACTGAATACTGTTCAGGGAGACATTCACAACTGGCCTGATAACTTCTCTTTTCACTAATGCTAAATGTGGTTCAGGTACATCTTTGGAAAGTCATGCATATGATGTCCTTTTCAGCAGAAAAAAAAACCACAATATTCCAGGGTACTTTTGTATATGATGGCATGATTTGTTTTTAGGGTTGGGATCTTTTACCTACATGGTATTGGAAGCAGCAGCGAATTTGGAGGTTCAGAATAGCCTAGATTCAGGGTTATCCGGGCTAAATCCCTCTCTATTTCTGGGATTCCTGCTGCTGTCAAACCGATGAGATCTACTACAGACACCATGTCCCATCACAATCGCATTCCTGTCATTCCTATAAAGAGGAGATGTTTAAGGATTTTGGCCAGAACTCTGGCCTGTCGTTAGTGTGATGCCTCTCTGTATGTCAATACCTCTGTACCCTTTCAACATTCATGCCTTCTTGTCTTTACTTAAACTGGATTGTCAGCTTCTTTCAATCATGTGCCATTCCCTCCTCTTTCACTGTATATCCTGAAGAATCAGGTCCATAGTTAGTCTTTCTGTGGCCACTGAACACAGCTGGAATGCATATTGCCATTGTAATAGAGGCTTTCCTTCTGCTGTTTCAAGTAGAGAAGACAACTTCCTTCAGACTAGAAGAATTATGACATACTGTATGATGTAACAGCTGGCAATATACTACTTGGTACTAAGTACTAAGAACTGGAGAGTTATTGCTTATGTGATTTCCAACTATAAACCATTTTCAAAGTCCACTGCATTCCTCTCAAAATCTCTTTCTCATAAGTTTCATTATTGCAAAAGTGCTCTAATCACTTACACAACTGACCTGAATCTATTAACCATTTTTTTTAACAATGTCTCAGTATTTCTAGAAGGTAGCACTGAGACCAGTGCACTTCTTCCCCATTTTTTCTTTTCCTCATTAGAATAACCATCACTTGTCTTATAAGGTAGATTTTAATTTATTTTAAAGTTCATGTTCTCTTCCAGCTAGACCATTTTTACTTTTACCTTAGTCAGGTCGATAACCAGCTCATCTGATTTTCTGTATTTTAAATTGTATCACACTGGGGACTGAATGTGCTTTTAAGGCATTTTTCTGTAGGTGGGCTTCAACACCTAAAACTCCTAAAAGATTCCTTTTCTCGTGCTCTCATGTACATTTACAGGTCCAGCTTCTCTCTTCAGCCTCTCTCTGAGTTCTTGTACCACTGAGGCAGAAGACTTTAAGAAAGTTCTCTTGTTTTCTTTTTGCTCTCACTGTTGCTCTGGGTTTTCCTCATCCTATTCCAACTAACCTACTGTTAGCTCCCGGCTCATGATTCCCCAGCTGAAGTCCTCCTCCGCTACACGACACATCAGAGTTACCCAGGCTCAGATGCAACCAGTTCTTTTGGTGCATGTCTCTCCAATCATGCTTTCCAGAAAAGACCACCACAGATGTTTTGTCCCTAAATTCCCAAGCTAAATCCTTAAAATCTACGTCAATTGTTCCAAAATTGACCTTGACACCTGAACCCTCTTGGGCTCAGTCCAGCAGCCCGTCCACTTGTTGCAACCTGGGCATGGGGGCAGACAGGCAGTACACCACACAGGACACCACATGGGACTCACACTGTCTGCACATATTGAAAGTCCGAGTGTCCGAGTCCTCTGCTGGGTCCAGTGGCTGCGATCTGCGACCCCTTCAGTTCCTCCCTCTCAAACCTCCTGGCCACAGATCAGGACCCCTCTTTAGGGGGTGGAAAGGGGTCCCTGTGATGTCGTGGGTGTGGGCAGAGCTTACTGCTCGGGGCTCATCGAGGATCAGGCTGTCCGCAGGTGCACTGTGTACTCACACCCTCCTCCAGGGCCCCCCTCTCACAAGGAGACCCAGTGAGCCCTCTGTCGCAATCCCACATGTCACCTCTGAGCTCTGAGGTAATTAACAGTGTTTGCTCAAGGAGGACCTTTGATCCAACAGAAAAAGGAAAGATGGATGAACCACCCTTACAGAGATCCTATGCCAATTTCAAGTGAACCTAGTCCTTGACATCTGTTGGCCCCTAAACCCGTTTTTCGTGACACTGGCACTCCCTCTACGGCGTGTCCTTAAAAATATTTTAAATTGAAACAGCGGGAGAACAGTTGACAACGCCTCTAGGCGTGAACCGAACCAGTCAAGCATGTTCTTTAAAGGTAATGCAAAGCAATTTTAGTTAAAAAAAAGGTTCTAAATGGACGGTCGTTTAATTCCAACGCTGTGTGCATCATGTCTGATGACGTGACCTGCTCGTAACTGCTGTGCCTGCGCCAGTGGCCGGAGTTTTTTTTCCGCTGGAAAGCTGCTGTCACCAGATTGCCAGGGCTGAGGCAGAACAGCGGGGCCCTCCCCTGTCATGTGACGGGGGCTTTATGGCTGCCGCGAGCCGCTCCGTCGCTCTTCCCCTGCGCTCGACACGAGCGAGTCACAGCAGCGAAAGATGTCTGTTCACGACTGCCCGTAGCAGACAAGGCGAGCCGAGCTTCCGAGTGGAGTGCAGGTAAGTGCCTCTGAAGGGTGACGCACTGTGAGTTTGGTGACCGATAACTACACTAGCAGGCTGTTGCATTCCGTTTCCTGACTGTTTGCTAAGTGCGCTCAGTGCAAAATAGTACACGTAGCAACTTAAAGTAGGTTACCGGGTAGTGGGGTTGTCAATTCGATAAAGTAAAGAGGAGTTGTAATCCCATTTCATTGCATGTGTGCGGACGGAAAGAGTTGCAAATAGTAACGCTATCTTGAATCTCTCCGCTAAAAGTGTAGCTGGGTTTTTAATTTAAAAACAAACAAACGGTACAGCACTTCTATGCGTAAATGCTGTGAATAAGAATAGACAAGCGTTGGTCTTATTTTGCAACTTTTATGTACTACAAAAAAAAACGAACACGGAGGATCGAACCGAAATCTTGGACATCTGGGAAAGCTGCGAGTCCCGCGAGTTCGAATCGGGTGGTAACGGCGAGTGTGCACCCCCCCCTGACCTTTCCTTCTCAGCGACTCCCGATGTCCCCTGATGTAGGGGGGTCTAGACGGCAGAAGCGCAGCTGAGAATCCCTTCTGTAATGAACAGAAGACGGTGTCTTTAAAGAGCAGGGAGCCAGGACCTTGGTTTAGCATCTGATCCGGCGCGCAGCGCCTCATCACTTCGAGCACAATTACAGTAGTAATTTCCCAGTCAGAACGTGAGCTAGTGGGCATCCCGAATTCCAGCTTCGTTACTCTATGGAGGTGTATTTTTTTTTGCATTTCTCCCATTTGCAATATACCGGTTTGAATGTTTCCCCCTGAAGAAAATCTCCTCAAAGATCCAGTAGTTCTTGGTTGTTTGCAAAACGGGGTGAGGAGATCAGTGCAGTTGGAGATTTGCATATTGTCAGACTGGGCATGCAGGCCTTAGGGGCTACATTTGAACTCCTTTGCATCTACCCGGTGGTGTGGTTGAAGCAACTGGATGTGACCCTTGGGTCAGTAAGTTGCTAACTAAAAATGAGCCCGGTGGCCTCCTGTCGCATGTCCCAGACCTGTAAGTGCCTGTGGATGTGGTGTTAGCAGCCCTGACGAAAGCATGCAGTTTGGCAAGCTGCCTCTTGTTTCTGACCTCTCAGTTATCAGAATATTGATTTAATCAGGCGACCCCTGTCTCTAAGTCTTTAACCCTTACCTGTACCACTTCCAGAGCTGTAGCTGTGCTGGACAGGGTGGAGCATTGTCGTTTTAGTGTTTTTGTCTATTGGGGAGCTCACACAAAACCGCCTCTAGTTCTCATTGCAGTGTAATGGCTCATTTTTTCTGTGGCTCACAGCTTAGTGAGGCATTTGGTGGAGAAGGGACTTCTGTAGCCCTTAATAAGGAGTACACTTACACATGAGCTTTTTTATGTACTACAAAAAAACGAACACGGAGGATCGAACCGAAATCTTGGACATCTGGGAAGGCTGCGAGTTCTGTAGCCCTTAATAAGGAGTACACTTACACATGGGCTTTCTGCAGGGGGTTTCTTGAGATTTAGGACAGGCTTCCCTGTTGAGATGGAAGATTTCTGTAGGTGAAGGATCTGGATTAATGCCAAACTGTTGAAACAGTTAGACAGTAGGTTATAGACACCTTTAAAGATTAAAATACACAATTAATGTGATGCGATCTACTGTATTTATAAGAAATGCAGCGCTCTGGAAACGAAGATAAGTCGGATCTGGCGGCAGGTCTGCGAAGAGCTGGAGAGCCCGGCGGACAAGCGGGGAAACGCGGTCTGAGGCGGGGATCGAGCCTGCAGTAAATCTAGGTGCTGAAGACGAACAGCAGCAGTGGAGTTTACTTGCAGGGCAGCCTCCTAGTATTTAAGATAAGATCGCTTTATTGGCCATATACAATTTCTTGTATTATAAATTTGTCTTTTCACATACCCCATCCTGCTCTCCATGAGACACACAGACAGGGAGAGAAGCTGGGGGTCAGAGCGCAGGGTCAGCCATTTATACAGCACCCCTGGAGCAGCTGGGGTGAAGGGCCTTGCTCAGGGGCCCAACGGAGTAGGATTCCTCTGCCGGCCGCGGGATTTGAACCGGCAACCTTCCAGCCACAGCCGCAGATCCTTAGCCACAGATCCAGCGCTCCGCCCTGTATCTGTGCACAAGATCTGTACATCCTCCAGCAGGAGATTTGGAAATCCTTGCTTAAAATAAAGAGGGACTGTGGTAAAAAATAATATTTTAAGATACCTAAAACCTTTGGCCCATTTGACTTTTCTGGTTGCTAGTAGATCATTTTTCCGAGGCCGTCATTCACCCATTTCTTTCACAGGGCCATGACAATGGCTTTCCACTTGTCACTCTGGTTCAGGGTTCACGGGGTTTAGCCCATCGGAGTTGGTTGTTACTTTGAACCCGAGAATGCGTTAGCGTGATCCCTAGACTGATTCCAGAGCAGTAATATCTTATTGTCTCCTACTGTAGGCTGTTTCTTCAAGCTCTGCTTTCCCATGTTATAACTGTAATGTCTGCACTCTGCATGTGTCTATATGAAATGTTTATAAATCTTTATAAAACGTCTTGAATTCAGTCTAAATCTTTTTTTTGGGGGGCAGATTCTTTGATACGTGTGGTCTAATCCTCCTTGGCTAGTGTCATATTTATTATTTTATAAGGATGTAGGCCATTGCTGTAAGTTAGGATGAGCAGTGGTTCTTTTAAGCCAGTATCTCGTTTCGTTCTGTGTATGGTTTTTGCCAAGGGGTGTGAACAGAGTACATACTGCATCGCTGGCTGAGTGAAACTGGCCTTGAAAGAAAGGCTTATGTATTATGGCCAATGGAAAAACGTGTGCTGTGCACAAATCCTTCAGTAAAAGAAGGCCAGTATTTCATGGCCCTCCATCCTCAGACATGTTTATTTGGGCTAAATGCCAATAAGTGTGAATGTCTCCATTTAAAACTGAATTAAGAAAATGTTTTTAATAAAGTTTGCCATTTAGAGATGTATAACTACAAATATTCGTCATGCATGCTCTTGAGTTTGTAATCCATACGATGGTACTCGGTACTGAACCTGTGGTCATAAATCTTAGTTTGGAATGACTGCTTTCTTTTTTACGCCGTGCGATAGGCTGAAATCGTACTGAAGCTCAAACCTGTGCCCATCACAGCCGATTGTTTCCAGATAATGTTGTGGTACACTAATAAGTATGTGGTCTTTTGACATACCCTAGATTCAGCTTCCTGTTTACTGCACCCCACAGCTTTCAGTTAGGATGTGTTAGACAAAAGGAACACGACTGCTTTCACCTGTTCTATGATAGTTACTGCTTCCATCAGAGAGAGAGAGTGAGAGACTGATAATAGTGGCTTAAGTTACTTTCCAACCTCATTTTGTGCATAAGCAGCTTTGTAGTTTTGTCAACGTTTGTAACTGACTTTTGTAACGGCAGTGGTTAAAACGTTTTTGTGTTTCGTACGAAGCCTGGCGGTATTGGTTACATAAAGGAGTGAACTTGAACGCCAGTCATATTCTGTCACAGTGAAGAAAAGTGCTTCAGGAGCCGCTCAGCAGAGTTCATGTCATATATTTCATTTGCTATTATTACTACATGTAACAACTCATGCCATTAAAAAATTTTGAAAAAATATACAGCTACTAGAGTGTATCCCCATTGCCGTTAAACTGAGTGCAGCAATGGACAGGAGTGATACTAGTGAGAGTCATAGATTAAAGCAATTTTTTTAATTATAATGCTAAAAATGACCCCAAAGCAAGTATTGATGAAGTGGGAGGTGAATACTAGGCATAAGCTTGCTGTGCATTATTTGTGTGATGCTTCAGAGGCCACAGCTAACAAACTGTGAGATGTTACTGGCTCTGCACTGGCTGACAGGAGAGCTGGCGCCGCCTGGAAGAGAGGCACATCACTTCAAGCCGGCAGGGAGCCGAGAGAGCTCAGGCCGAGCAATCCCGGCTTCAATCCTGGCGTTTCACTTGGGGGATTCTGGCCATATCCAGTTGGAGACGTGAAATTTTCATTCTTTATTATTTTTTGCAAATAGAATTCCTTTGCTTGCATCCTACTAATGTGTAGAGGGTACATATATTTAAAAAATGTCTGATACCATGAGGAGAGAATCAGTTCACTTCCTCTTTTGCTATTGTAATGATTGCCGATGCAATACCTCCAGAGAGTGACAATGGAAAAAAGTAAATGCCAATTACTGGCAGTGAGGTTTGTTTTCACTGTTGCCCAATTCCAGTCTGACTGCAACAGGAACTTGTATAATTCGTCAGCATGAGATACCACTATTTCTCTGATAAATAGTGAAGGATGTGTGTATTTGTACAGACTTAGCCTTTGCTTTGTTTCTTCATGGACAAGGTGGAAGCAGAAACGATGGCAGGGGAGGACCAGGGGGACTCGTCGGGGGACCAGGCTGGAAGGAAGAGGTTTAACCCGGTGGTTTTAGAAGAGCAGGAGAAGGAGACCAGAAGCTTGAAATCCCTCTTCGCCAGGAAGGTCAAGAAAAAATGTTCTTGCGGACCAGCCAGAATCAAAGGTCTTCTGTTTGGGTTTTTTCCCATTCTGTCATGGCTGCCCGGCTACAAGCTGAAGGAGTGGATCATTGGGGACATGATGTCTGGGTTGATTGTGGGTATCCTCCTGGTGCCCCAGTCCATCGCCTACTCCCTTCTAGCTGGCCAGGACCCCATCTACGGCCTGTACACCTCCTTCTTCTCCTGCATCATCTATGCCCTGCTGGGCACCTCGAGGCACATCTCGGTGGGGATCTTCGGGGTGCTGTGCCTCCTGGTGGGGCAGGTGGTGGATAAGGAGCTGATGGCGGCGGGCTACCTCACGGAAGGCAACCAGACGGCTATCCCGGGCCCGGGCAACGCCACCGCAGCGCTGGACTGCGACCGCAGCTGCTACGCCATCTTGGTGGGGACCACGGTGACGTTCATGGCGGGAGTTTACCAGGTCAGTCCGCTGAGTGCTGTGAGGGGAGACCAGGCGTTGGTGGTGTCGCCGGATTTGGTATCTGTGCATTGGGGGTTGGTTGAAATCGAATGGGCTAAACTGTTGTGAGAGTGGCAGTCTCTGAAACCTTCCTGCCAAGACAACACTTGGAAAGCTGTCATTCTGTGGGCATTGTGAAGACGTAGTTTCCCAAAATGGTTTTAATTTGAAAAGCTGTTTTAAACCTGCATGAGCTCCCTCCCTGACTGCATCCCCATTCTTCACCTGACTGTTTGCTTTCCCTGTCCTGACAGTGTTTGTCTCCATCCAGGTGCTGATGGGAGTCTTTCAGGTGGGCTTTGTGTCCGTCTACCTCTCGGACTCCCTCCTCAGCGGCTTTGCGACCGGCGCCTCCCTGACCATCCTCACCTCGCAAGTCAAGTACCTCCTGGGGATCCGGCTGCCCCGGACGCAGGGTCTGGGCTCTCTGGTCAAGACCTGGTTCTACCTCTTCCAGAACATCAAGGACACCAACGTGTGCGACCTCGTCACCAGCCTGCTGTGCCTGCTGGTGCTGGTGCCCACCAAGGAGCTGAACGACCGCTTCAAGGCCAAGCTCAAGGCTCCCATCCCCATGGAGCTCTTCGTGGTCATCGTGGCCACCTTGGCCTCTCACTACGGCCGCTTCCACGAGGTTTACGGTTCGGACATATCCGGGACCATCCCAACAGGATTCCAGCCCCCCATGCTTCCGGCCTGGTCCCTCATCCCCAACATAGCCCTGGACGCCCTGTCCATCGCCATCATTGGCTTCGCCATCACCGTCTCCCTCTCCGAGATGTTCGCCAAGAAGCACGGCTACGTCGTGGACGCCAACCAGGAGATGTACGCCATCGGCTTCTGCAACATCCTGCCCTCCTTCTTCCGCTGCTTCACCACCAGCGCCGCGCTTACCAAGACGCTGGTGAAGGAGTCCACCGGCTGCCAGACGCAGCTGTCTGGGGTGGTGACCGCCCTGGTGCTGCTCCTTGTCCTGCTGGTCGTCGCTCCCCTGTTCTTCTCGCTGCAGAAGTAAGGCCCGCTCTTTCCCTTTCCTTTTCCGGTCCTTTTTTCCTGGACTGAATCGGAATCGTGTCCGCGGTGCAGATGCAGAAAAGCACCATCGTTCAGGGGTCACAAATTGCATTAAGAGATTCTTGAACTGGTTACCCAGTAGTTGGAAACGAGTGGGCTAAACTATCGGAGAGCGGCAGTCTCTGAAACCTTCCTGCCGGGAAGAGAGATTTGTAATTCCCTGAGCATTGGGAAGATGTACGGTTTCCCACAATGGTATAATTTTGAAAACAAAATTCTTCAACCTGGTTGGGGGACGATCCCGATACATGGTTGGCTGTCAAAAGCCGGATTTGTCTCGTTTTCTTAATGGATACTTCAACGGTAACAACCCTTGTTTATCCATTTGTCGTATGTGGATTGACGCTGTATTTTGCGTTGGCTCAAAACTAAAAGTATTGAGCCAACGTCAGGTTCATATAACTCCATCCACAAACGGAAAGAAAAGAAGCAGACATGCATTCGGCATTCAGTACAGTACATAGTACAGAATGGCAATATGTAGCACTCTGAACCTCAATGATCTTATTTCACAAAAACGCCAGAGTTTCAGGTTTGAAAGAGGAGGGCGGGGGGTTATCTTTTGATGATTTCCACACTGCTTGGGAGCTTGCGGCACTTAGAAATGTTAGTCAATGTCACCTGTGTGCCTGTTACTAGTGCAGGTGGTAGTCCTCTTTCAGGGCGGTGTGAAATTAATACAACGTTGACGTTCATCTGCCTCCAGGTGCGTCTTGGCGGTCATCATCGTCGTCAACCTCAGGGGCGCGCTGCGCAAGTTCTTGGACGTCCCCCGGATGTGGCGAGTGAACCACGTGGACGCCGCCATCTGGCTGGTCACCATGGGGACCTCGGCGCTCCTCAACACGGAGCTGGGGCTGCTGGTGGGCGTGCTGTTCTCGGCGCTGTGCGTCCTGGCGCGCACCCAGGGGGCGCCGGCCGCGGAGCTGGGGCGGGCGGGCGAGCTGGAGCTGTACGAGGACCTCGGCGCCTACAAGGGCCTGCGGACCCAGCCCGGGGTGAGCGTCTTCCGCTTCGGGGCGCCCATCTACTACGCCAACCAGGCGCTCTTCAAGCGGGCCCTGTACCGCCACCTGGGCCTGGACCCCGTGAAGGAGAAGTCGCGGCGCAGGAAGCTGGAGAGGAGGAGGAGGAAGGAGGAGGAGGGAGGGGCCGCCGGGGATCAGAACAAGGCCGAGGAGTCGCCCGCCCGCATCTTCATCCCGCAGCGGCCTGGCTGCCACACCCTGGTGCTGGACTGCGCGCCGGTGCTGTTTCTGGACACGGCCGGCGTCAACGCCCTGCAGGAGGTGCGCAAGGACTACTCGGAGCTGGGGCTTCGAGTCCTGCTCGCGCGCTGCAACGCCTCCGTCCTGGACTCCCTGCGCAGGGGAGGGTATCTGGAAGAGGCCGGCAGCTCGGCGGGGAAGGTGTTTTTTACCATCGGCGACGCTGTCGGCTATGCTCTCGCGCTTTGTTCCCAGAATGGAAATGGGGAAACGTGCTGCTGATGGGGGGCCGGGGTTTGGTTTTTTTTTTATACAACAATACTTGGTTGTTTACCGTGCCTTTGTGTCTCAATATTATATAAGTCTTTGCTCTCTGCTTCCTTAAGAGGTGACGTTTTCTTTGGATCTGAAGAACGCGTGGTTTTTGTCTGGCAGTTCTCTGTGCAAAAACGCAGCTTCGAAAAGACAAACTAGACGTGAAGCATATCCGTCTCCCCTCTTTGGCTCGTGCTGAATTACAGGTGATTTCAGTCTCACGGCTGATCGATTAAGCTAGCAGGATAAACCGTGCTTTGTTGTTTTATGTAAACCTCCTTGAGAAAGGTAATGCATAATATTACTGGAGCACAGGACTGGTGAATTGTCACCCCAACCTTGTTTCAGATTTGTTTTTTTACAAAAAGCACTTTATACATTTCTATGGTCAGTAAATGAAAGATTTTCACATATTGCAGCAATGTCACCAGTATGCCTAGAATAGTTTATCTATAAATAATAGGATTGCAGCATAATAAAAAACACTGCCATGTAGGATTTTTTTATACATTTTTGGAGAAAGACGTCTTAAATATTTATTAACTATATTTATGTAACACTGCTGTAAAAAGTGCTGGAAAGAACTGTGCTTTGTCTCTGTCAATCTGAGCAAAGAATTGAGCTTGTATTTACACTAAATGTGCAGTGCCTTCTACTAGATCTCACACTAATTTATTCCAAGGGCTTTCCTTTGTGTGTTGCCCTGGTTTTCCTAGACTGGGAGTGTTCCTGAACTCTGGTCATGTCCCAGAATTATGCAATGAAAGGGCTGGAGGTGTTGTTTCCACTGAAACCAAATGGGGGGAAATGAGGGATTCTATGAGAATAAACTATACATATGAATGTAGTATCGCACAATACACCTCAAAAATGCTCTCTCCTCTCAAGACCAAAAACTAGTGTAGGATAAGAAATTGTGATGGACGTCTTTGTCCTGAAAGAGGAGGAGGGGGGAGGAGTGTGAATTTCCTTCTTTTCCACCAGTTCTGATGTAGTTCCAGTCACTTTTTTCCCCGTTATGCTCTACTTTGGTGATCTCTCCCTGGTGCTTTTCCAGGTGAATGGGGAAAAAGAAACTTGTTTGCTTCTTTCTTTAAAATGCGATAAGCAGGAATAAGTCAATAAGTCAAACTCAGAAGGCTTATCTACAGTTTACAGTATAAAGGAAGAGTTACAATTCCTTTGTAATCAAAGTGCCTTTTTGATTAAAGTGTTTCAGCCAAAATTATCATGCTGTGCCTTAAGTTAATACATACTTAATCGTGTAATAGTGATATTTTTCCTAAGATAATATTTTTAGAAATGTTGTGGATGTACTTTTTCATTCTCAAGTCTTCATAAGGATTGCTGTTATTGTGAAAAAAAAATAAACTGTGAAAGACTGCCAATATGAATTGTATTGGTTTTATACAGAACTGTCCTTTTAAATTGATTGTAAGTCAACACTGCCCCCTGTTGGTTGAAGATCTGACCTGAGAAGTTTTGTCCACATATTCTAATCGCGCTCCTCCTTCTGGTACTTTTATTTCTGATCCGGTAAGAAGCGCACGCGGTTTACATTTCTTAAATCAACAAGTTTGTGCGTCAGGAATAAGCATTAATATTTAAAATATTTGCTCACAACTACTGTATGACTTTTTATTGCCCAGCATATGTTATCAGTAGCCCGTTTGTACGTACTTTTTGTATATCCTTTATTTTTTCTCGGGTTTTGAAGGAATCTGAATTGTGTTTTTCAGTAATGTTTTATATTTGTTTAATTTTCAAACTGGCTACACCCGTCTCTGCGGTGCTTTTATTCTCGGTGTTACCGTTTGCAGTTTTTCTCTTCCGAGCTAAAACGTCGGTGCCGACAGCCCTTGTTTATCCATGTGTTAAGTGTCATTTGCGGAACCACAATCAGCGCTACTAAAACAGCTGTTTTAAAAAGTTTCGAATTCTTGCAGATGTGTAACATCCTTGTGTTCTGAAGTCGTGTGAACTCCATCATTGTGCTGGCTCTCCCACAGTGCACTGCAGCAGAAGGGCATTATTCTACACACACAATCCACTGTATGTACACAACCACGTATATACAGTACCGTAGGGTCCATTGCACCTGTTGTAGACCAGCCTTAGACATGGTGGGGGAAATGTATAACCGTTTTTGTTTTGTGTATTCTTCTTCGTCTGATGTCGAATTTTCTTTTAAACAGAACCGTCGTCTTATGCTGTTGTACTGGTTGTGTTCCCGGCGTCTGAGCTGTTTGTTAAATGTTTCTCTCCCCCGCGTAGCTTTCAGTTTAGTGTTGCGTCACGATGAAATGTTGTAAACGTAGTGGAAGCTTTTTTTTTTTTTTCCGGGGGGATCTATCTCTACCAAAAAAAAAAAACAAAAAAACAAGCCAGCAGAGAAAGTAGTGTCGAATACTGTTCTGCTGGGATTGCTTTCATTTCTCGCACAAAATAAAAGTAACGATGAAGTGTTCAAGTGTGGGCTGCCTTCTGGAGTCCAGATGTCGCAGGTTCGAGTCTGGGCTGCTGTATGTCTCCAGCCAACTGTGTCTAGGAGTAGGATTATTAATGGAAGCTATTTATTAACGAAAATTGCTATGTACTGTATGTGCAGCAAAAACCAATGTACCACCTTGTCTTTGTCACTGACGAAACAGGGCTCCTAGACTAAAACCCAGCTACTTTTCCTGAAGGGCTTTTTAAATTCTTCTGTTCAACTTGTCTGCTTTGCAATTATGTTACCTTTTAATAAACAGTTGAAATGATTGATTGTAGATCTGTTTGTTTTTTGTAGTTCTGCAGTTAACCTCTCATTACAGAGTCTGTGAAGATGAAACGTGAATCTTTGTTACAGAACTAATCATGGGTTTAGGTTTTTATCCTGCTGTAAGGAAACATTTCCTTTAGGATAAGCCTATTTTGTTTTTGGTGCTTAAAGTAAGAATTTTACATTTCCTGATCCTTGTCCTTCATAACAGTTTATTTGGATTGTATTCATTGGGGAAAAAAAAGAAGAAAAAGCGATACATGTTCAGTTTAGAGCTGTTATCTTTTTCTTTGTTTGAAAGAAAGGGGCAGGAGGCTTTCTTGAAATTAAGCAAGGCTCGGTTAAAAATCAAAATTCAGTACCTTGATGCAAAGCAAACAAGCTACCCCAGCTAAGGCTGTATCAAATGGCTCCCCTGCTTACTGTAGTAAATATTGACAGAGTGCATCCGGTTCTGAACTGCTATTTATACTGTAGGCCTGTGTGTTAGAAGTGGTGTAATTAACACTAAAGGTTAACACAGTCTTTACAATTACATGGATATGGAGGTTGTCTTTAAAATATAATACATCTTTAATTTTGTTTTGTAGTTACTTCCATCACAGCTACTTTATAAGCTGCTGAAATGTAGATCTTATATTCTGGTAACACTTTTACTGGACTGGGCTTTAGCACAAGGAGATAGAACAAAATGCTTATAAACCTTAAAGCAACATAGGGTTTTGCATGAACAGTCCTTGTCCGCTCTCTCTTTATGGTCTCTTCCATCTTCTTCACCTGTCTCTGCATTAACTGGAGTTCTGCTCTTCTCTTTCAGCTGAAGCAGTCTCATTGTGGACCAATATGGATAATGATCTGTGATGTCATTTGCACAAAAGGCTGTAAAGGATTAGGTGTGTTGTTACATTGTGTGGTGTAGTGTTTGTGGAGGAGTTTTGATGGTTGTTTTTAGCCTTATTCAAGTGTGCTTGAAAAAAGCATTACAATTCGATAGGGATGTCAAGCTGTTAATTCAGATTAGACTGGTGAATAATCAATTATTCTTCACCAGTCACAGCATAATGAAGTCTCCCACAACAAACGCATGTTTATACTTGCTTAGAGAAATCTTCAGAAACAAAACATGCTTGTGAAATAGCAGGTGCAGTGAGCGACCTTTTTCTCCAGCAGCATGACAGTGCAGCATTTTTGTAACCAGTTTATATAGAAAGTTGTGCATATAGACAGAGTTCTGCTGATCGTGCAAATCTGAAGGGCTCTTGAATACTACATTGTGTTGTAGTCTGCATTGAAGAGGCTCCTGCCACACTCAAAGTAATGAGGAGGATAACACATCTTATCTGCATTTTTGTGCCAACTAATTTCTAACTTGCTGCATTAATATCAGAAATCTATTAACACAATATATCTCCCTTCACGATTGCTTTGCGCAGTCTTGTTAAAGACACTGTTTTCCTGGTTAATTCATATTTCAAACTGAGAACTTAAAACAAATGTTATTTGAAATGCTGCTGAAACAAAATAATGACTTCAAAGCCAGCAGAGGGCAACCTTGCTCTGTAGGTCAGACCATTTCCACTTTAAAAGCAAGAAAGGATCTAACCTGTAGCAGAGAGCTGTATCTTGGTCTAATGTCCTAAATGCATATTAAATGCTCGTTCTAAAGATTTTGCCACTTTGAGATCAGTGGTAACTTTCTGCCTGGAATTTCTATTATCCTGTTGGAAAGCTGTCTGTGCCCAAGGTAGGGGTCACACGCATCCAAAGCCTACCCTGGAAGACCAGGGCAGGGCTGTACCCAGGACAGGCAGAACACACAAGGGTACTATTTAGAGATAGATAACCGAGCCAGCGTGTGTTTGGAAGATAGGATGTAAGACTTGTGAACAAGACGGAACCTGCCTGGTCCAGAATCGAGCTCAAAACCCAGGCCACCATGATGCCAACTCCGAATTAGTGGCTTTTCCAGATGGCTGGATGAATTTTCAGTTTTTCACATGTTTACTACTTGTCAAAAGTGAAAAGACCAACACAGCATAGTCTTTTTTAACATTTGATGATGATGATGATGTGTTAATCAGGGTATTGATGTTGTAAAATTATGAAAAGTCATCTTCAGATGCACCAAAGCATCTTTTGAAATGAAAGTGAAAAAACAGTAGAGCTTGCTTTGAAACTCGGGTTTGCTAAGGGTGTTATTCATCGGAAGATCAAAGGCTGATAGCTTGTGGAAGCAAGCAGGTGTTTCATGTTCGCAATGCAAGTTTTTTTGACGGGTTTAGCTCCGTATTACTGTGAGCCTCACACTGGAAATGTCACACTCTGCATGTTGAAGCACTTTTCAGAAGGATCTGTAGTAGCTCCTGCATCTCAGTGTGGGACTTTTAATGATGTCTTATTAAGCAGCATTAAGATTTGTCACTGGAAACGTACTTGTGTAACAGTTCTTTTGAGGTTCTTGGTATAGTACAGTACATGCATGTTGTCTTGATATTGCAATTAATCACTGAGCTTTACATATTACTTAATTACCCAGAGCTGTGACCATGTTTAGATAGATCAAAGGACACTTCATGTTATCTGAATATTGCTTGAACTTCTAACCAGCTAATCAGCTGACAGCATTCCAGCAGAACACAGCTACTCAAAAGAGGCTTCTGTGGGAAAAGAGAAATGTGAGGAGGTGGACTTCCAGAGCCTGCCTGGGTGCCAAGGTAGCAGCGCAGCAACAAGGCTCTGAGCAGACATTAACAGAGGCACGTGCTAGCAGGATACAGAAGTCTTTGTCCAAGGCTGGATCTTGCACCATGAGTGTAGAAAAGTGTTGTGATTCACAGAGTCCTACCATAAGATGTTCATCGGCTTTGACTTGGGAATAATGCCTAAGTGCCAAAACGTGAAATGGAGCAGGCGTAAGCACAGCTGTCTGGAGAAGCTGATGCGGACTGTTGTGCAGATGGTAACCATGTATAATGCATGCAGTAGTGCTGGGGGTACCACCAGAAAATTCTCATGTTCAGATATGGTGGCCTCTCTGCTATGCCCTGAGCAGCCCAAAAGCCTGTGCTGCAGTGATTCAAAGCATGGCACAACACCTAAGCTTGCTGCCCTAGTACACGAAATACCAAAGTGCTCTGGTAAAAGTTTTTGAGAATTGTTTCTCAATGGTGTGCCAGTAGGTGGCGCCAGGCCGTTTACAACAGATTCTTAATGGTACCCCAAGCACCCTAGCGGCAGAACTTGTGCTAGAAGTGCTCTTTCACATTGAATGCTGAACCAAGTTTCTGACAGTTTGTGGTCATTACAGATCCCATGGGACCCTGTCTTAGTCTTGCCTTAACTAAATCTGCTAAGAAATTCCCTTCTTCTCCACCTAATTTGGTTGTTAGTGAGTTGCATGTGTTATCTAGAAGAGCAAAACTTCAAAGGAGGATGAGTTGAATCCCTTCCTACTTACAGTAGGAAGTGATAAAAACCACTGTGCAAGCTATTCTTTTTATTTACTAGTAACCTATCTAAATCTAGTGGTAATCTAAACAGGGACTAAAGCAGCAGACGATCGTTTCTATGTCAGATAGGCAACCCTCCCCCCCAAGCGCATGCAGAGAATTGTAGAAACGTTCACCTGCAGAGCTGTGTGACACATATCAGCCTTGTGCATGAGCATCTGTGTCAGGCTCTGCATGGTGCACATAGACAACACATTGCAGCCCCTCTTTGAGCATGGTTGTGCCTCAGAATTTAGGAGTTAACCGGTCCTGGAGGTTACAAGCTCTTGACGTTCCTGCCTGAGTGAACGTTCGCTCAACGTTCACAGAAAGTAAACGGTTCTGCCACAGTGTTAAGTGTCTGTGTTCATCTGACACTGCATGCACTTGGCGTGCTATTTTCTGCTTCAGTGGTTGTCTAACTACCTACAAAGAAGTAAGACATTATAAAGTGGATGATTTTTGTCTTAGTGCAGGCAGTTGTGTTTATATACACCACTGCCCGCACTTAACAGCATGGTGCCATTAAACAGCCATTATGCTTCAGCAGAGTCATCACAGGCTTCGTGTTCAGGTCACTGTGGTGAGCGTGCTGTGTCTTGCAGCTTATAAAATATGTAGTGGGAAATGTAGTGGTTCTATTTTAATTCCAGAAAACTTCAAAGCTCATTAACATCAACCCTACTTATGTTTCGAAAGCACAGAAGACGTGAAGGGGCTGCAGGCACTAGCCGACAAGCTCTTCATTTGTGTTTTGTTGGAAAGTAAGAGCCCCGTGGAGATTATTGTAAAACCCGTAGCACAGTTGCCTGCTTAGGGATTGTTGTGAGCAGCATTAATGGAGTAAATCAAACCCCACAGGCACTGCTATGGCTTTGTTTGCCCTGTATTTATTACTAGAATGGCATGTGTCCTGCATTTCTGTCAGGGCATGTGTGATTGTTTGCTGGCATTAAGAGAGAAATAAGATCATTCCTCACTCCAGCAACGGTTTTCCATGGGTTTCTTGTTTGTTGATATTTTGAATCTGCCGTTGCAGAGGCGGTGCGGTTTGAAGCTCTGATATTGAAGCCCTTGCAGCACCATACCATAAAGTAATACATACTGTCTGCAGACACAGCCCTCTCTAGCAGCCGGGCATTGGGTGTCTCTCTCCTGTCATTGCAGTTCTGCAGAGGAATTCCAGCCGTGATATACTGCCAGTTGTGCAGCATCCCATAGTGAATCATTACCCCAACAAGCTAATGCTATATCCTAATTCAGACCATCGAACCCTGGGGAACAGTAGGGCGAGCAGTGGAGCATTAAGGCGCAGTACCTGTCTAAAGAGTTCATCATCTGTGCCCACCCAGAAGAGGAGACCCACAATCCTCTGGTCTGGTGTCCTAGACACTTGCTCCACACTCATGCCAAGAAGAAGGATCTTGAACCAAACTTAGAAACATTCCCGAAGATTAAGGCTTTAAAAAAATGAAACATGAACCTCCCCCTGCACAAGCAGCATAATGCG